CCGCATCGTCATCCGTGTACACATGAGCACTCATCATGATCAGGAGACAGACGGACAGACGTGCCGATGGCGATCAGACACGACGATGAAACGGCGGATGATATAAGACCTTGAAAGTATCACCTCCTCGGACCCTCGTTGACCAAAGCCGGTCAGGACTCTGTCGATCAGCAGAAGGTGAGCGCTCCCACATATCTAGATGTCCTCGAAGCCAGCACTGAGTACAAAGGTTTCGGAAATTATCTACAACGCGTCCAAAGGGTCCAAGTTCTTCAACCATGAACAGAGCTCGCGACCGAGTCTTGACGGAGAAGATCGATCGCATTCTGAAGGAGAAAGCCCGCTTGGAGAAGCTCGATCTTTCCGCCGACCTGCGTCGCGCGGACCAACTCCTCGCCGAACTCGAACTCAGCCGCGACCTTACTCAATACGTCATCCATGTGGACTGCGATGCTTTCTTTGCCGCCGTTGAGGAGCTTGACCGCCCCGAGCTCAAGACTGTCCCCATGGCCGTTGGCAAAGGCGTTCTGACGACCTGTAACTACGAAGCGCGCAAGTTCGGCGTTCGCAGCGGGATGGCCTCTTTCGTCGCGAAGAAGCTCTGCCCGCAGCTCATTCTTCTACCGCAGAACTATGACAAGTACACTGCTAAGGCGCAGGAGATTCGTGCCATCTTCACCCAGTACGATCCGCTGTTCGAGAGTGCCAGCATTGATGAGGCCTACCTCAACATCACCGCGTACTGCTTGGAGAATAACCTTGGCCCGGAAGAGGTAGTTAGTCGCATGCGCGCCGAGGTGCTGGAGAAAACCCAGATCTCAGTGTCGGCAGGAATCGCGGCCAACGCTAAAATCGCCAAGATTGCCTCCAATCGAAACAAGCCTAACGGTCAGTTTTGTGTGCCGAATGATCGCGACGCCATCATGGAGTTCATGCGCGAGCTGCCGGTGCGGAAAGTGAATGGGGTTGGCCGGGTGTTTGAGCGCGAGCTGGACGCCATTGGAGTCAAGACCTGTGGCGATATTTACCCAGCGCGTGCGCTACTGGCGAAGCTCTTTGGAGAGAAGGCCTTCCAGTTCCTGGCGCAGTGCTATTTGGGACTCGGGCGGACAAAGATTCAGCCCGTCGAGAACTACGAGCGGAAGAGCGTCGGAACAGAGACGACCTTTAGTGAGATTGGCACCAAGGAAGAGTTCCGCGCGAAGCTGCTGTGGGTGGCGCAGGAGCTGGAGAAGGATTTGGCGCGGACACAGTTCAAAGGCCGCACGCTGGTGCTCAAAGTGAAGCTTGCTACGTTTGAGGTGCTCACGCGTCAGTATCAGCCTCCGCGGGCTGTGTCCGTGGCCAAGGATCTCTACGCATTCGCTCTACCGATGCTGGAAAAGCTTGAGAAGGAGATTCCGAATATGAAACTGCGGCTGCTTGGGTTGCGATGTACGCACCTCGTAAGCACGAAGAAAGCGGGCATCGATTTCTTCGGCTGGGCACGGAGCGGGAAGCCTTCGACCGGGTCAGCGGATTCAAGTGGTGAGCATGAAATTGGCGCAGAGGAAGCCTTTGAACAGGCAGCCCGACAGGAGATCGAAGAGGAGATGAACGACATCGAGAAACTGAGCCAGGAAGTCCCGGATAGTGGGGCGGATACTACAGACCGGGAGTCTAGTGCGAAAGCAGAGCCACAACTGGAATATTGGGAGTGTCCCATTTGTGCCAAACCGCAGCCTGCAGAAGACAGGCTGTTCAACGAGCATGTCGACTTTTGCTTATCCAAGGGCACCATCCGCCAAGCTGTGCAAGGGGCCAAAGAACCGACTCCAGAGGCTGTCCCCGGGAAGAATCGCAAGAGGAAAGGGACGTCTCAGGAAGTCGACCCTCGTCAGAAACGGTTATTCTTTACGTGAGGGATGTCGGTGAGACATTATTAGCTTGCGTTGCTCCACATGGTGGTGGCTACCTACGTGGCTACCACCTTATGGAATTCAGTCACTCCTCCCCGATGCCGGGCTCAGGTCGGTGCGAGTCACCAAACCAATGCTCGATGTTGGGATATAATCCCACGGAATGAGAGGAGTCAAAAGAATCTGGGTTTACTGAATCTGGTTGGCTTGACGGGTGTTGGATAGATTCATCGGATACCTTAGGTATAGTAGTATACTGCACGATCTATATGGACCCCTGCAGTCAAGGATAGATACTATACATCAGACAATCGATCACCTTTATCTAATATAAACAACCACAGAGCCTCAAGATCTATATTTCAATCGCTATATTGCACGTCATAATCCACTGACATCTGATCGTCGTGGATCATCTTATCGGAACGGGAGAGTGCATCAGGCCATGCATCTGCAGTCATCATGAACCCCCGGATCCTTCATGGACCCTTAGAATAATTGAGTGAAATATAGCTACTGAATATACATAACTACTCCGCAAGAATCTGAGATTCCGATTGAAACATGTTTTATCCCTGGAATGAGTGACCCCGACAACTGGTCTTTTGCGGTGTAGGGACCACACTAAGCCCACTTGGGCCGTGACGTCTCCTTTTATTATGATTCGAGGATCACCACCACTTAGTTACTTCTTCTACCCTCCTTTTCACTTTTTTCTCGACAACTTCACCACTCTACCTCGTTCAACTCCCCGAAGCATATATCCCACAGATATATACACCACTGCGCATCATGCGCCCGGTCTCTCCTGCTCTGCCGCAATGCCATGAGTCGTTCGACCGCCATGACCGCCGATAAACAAAACAATGGCTATACCGCCAAACCCTTCACCCCGACCCTCAGCGCCGCCTTTCACCGCGCCAACAAGTCTCCTCTGACCCCCAAACTCGCCAGTCCGGCGGGCTACCGGACTCCCAAGCGATTGAATCCCGCCGATCCGCACTCCCAATCCGCCTCCGTCCCCAGACCGGACTCCGACTCGGCCTCCTATCTCAGTGCCAATGTGACCCCTCGTTCGGGCTCCCGCAACAGCCGACGCGATGGTTCGTTGGCGCCGTCCCCCCATACCACGCCCTCCAACGGCCAATACTCGCCTCAAGCTTCCTACGCTCCTACTCCGACCGCTGGAGGCCCTCGGACGGAACGCAGCCCCAACCGCATGGGTGCGAGGCTCGAGCCGGCGAGGAGTTACCGGGCCAAAACCTGGACGACGGATAGCCATCTTTCACGACCCAACTCATCCTCGGACTTGTCCTCCGGGAGTTCGCCCATGTTCTTCCATGCCTCCGACGCGCGCTCGTCGAATTCGGACGCCGACCCAACCCGGTTGAAACCCCACGTAAAACCGTCCAGCCCCGCCACGTTTGTCTATGCCAACGGCGAGCAAGAACGTCAGTCCGGGGATGAATCGACCGGCCGCGCGATGAAACGTCGCTCCTCCGGCATGTCTCGACCAGGGGCTGCGGCCAAACCACCCTCCGCCTCGCCGCGTCTGGCCTCGCCCAAACTCCATGCCGCCACTCGACTCTCCGATAGCTTTACCTCGCAGATCAGTCCCCCGTCAGACGCCCCAGCTGAGCCGGCACCGCAGCTGCATAGTCCGCCTTTGAATTTCTCCCCGAAACTGTCTGCACCAACCATCAAACACACCAAGTCCCCCAGCCTCGATGCGGCTCCCCGTACGATGTCCCCTCGGGAGGGCCTTCGACCAAGCCCGATCATCATATCCCCTTCCGATGCGAAGCTCGACGCTAGTGCACTGTCTTCAGAGCCGATTCCTGGACTGAGGCCTCGCATTTTCAGTACTGAGTCTACCGCGTCGATCGATGCGTATAGCGCGGCACAGAGTCCGGTCAAATCGGAGACCAACTCGCAGTCCAAGGATGAAGGCGTTCTCAACGCCCGCACGGAGCGTAAGATTTTAGATCTCGAGATCAGCAACTCGTCCCTTCTCGCCATCAACCGGACGTTGGAGCGGGAAATGCGGAAACAGAATGCGGAGCTGCGCCGGTTCCGACGTCTCAGTCGTGCCGGACGTCTTTCAATGGCCACTTCGACTCGATCAGTGTCGGGGACGTCGCTGGGGATTGCGAGTGAACTGGACCAGGCAAGCGAGATGTCGTCCATCCGTTCGCCGGAAGACATGTCGGATTTCAGCGACGAGGAGTCCATGGCGGATGAAGGCGTGATGAGTCCGGATTCTCTTGCGGAACACGACGCCCGGCATCGGGATCACGACGAAAAGCGTTTCTTGATCGATCTGTCCAAACATCAGGAGCTGTTAGCCGACAGCCAGAAAATGAACCAAAGCCTGCGACGGTGTCTCGGGTGGACGGAAGAACTCATCAAAGAGGGACAGAAAGCCCTCGAATACAGCGTGCACGTTAATGATATCGAGCTAGGAGGGAGGGTCCTCGCGCCGGAAGAATTGCACGACATTGGAGAGAGCGCGCGAGGACTCCTCAGTCCATCCGCGATCCCCGATATGCCTCCAGACGAACCAACTGATGAACCAACCGAAACGGCCTGATCCACTTGTCTGTCCACTGATTGTACTTCTACAACACCGGTCTTTATTTCCTTTTGTCTAGATATGCTTCGACTTGCACTTTGAGCCTTGTTTGCGCCCGCATGGGCGATGGTCGTGACAATGCTGGCATTCGTCGATGACGACTCCATTCTTTTCTCTTTTCTCTTTTCTTTCCTTCTTCTTGTCTTTCATAGCGATAGAGCGGCTGATCAGCTATTGCTAGATACCCGATGCGCGATGTTTATGTTACGTTACTATGAAGGTGTACACCCGGCGGTGTTAGACTTAATGTGAATAAGAAGCGACTCCCATCATTGCAGTACTATAGCTAGAGATACCATCCGATTGACTTTTATTCGATGTTGCATGTATGAGTTGTAGATGGTTAGACTCCAGGACAGTGCCATATTCTAGGCCACGGACAATGTATCCCTCTGCCAGGCGGTCGGTGTACGACACTGAGATCGAGCCAGCACTGGGCTGACCACCTCTTCTAATTAGCTCACCTCGGTGAACCATACTATCAGAGAGATTTTTCTCTGTGTGAGCGTGCATAGATTCCCCGGAGATCCAGGCGTCTGATAGTCAGAACACTGTCCAACGAGCTCCACACATTCTGCAGTGGTCAGTGACAGTACGGCCTTGCCCGAATGGACGATGGGTGTTGTAGACGAAGAACTGACGGTTATTATATTCAGCCAGGCAGCGGTCGAAGTCTTCTAGGATAGGACGTAAATTTCTGCCGTACTGTTGGATAAGCTGAATGTATGCGTAGTCATATTTGGGGTGGATGATATAGCGCAGCCCAGACTTCCTTCCTATAGACGAAGCCCGCATACATTCAGCTTATCTTGCTAGCACCGCATCTCAGACTGTGTCGCAATATCGAGGCCGTTCAAACTCACGGTCCGGTTTACGCAAGAAGCATCAGGATCAATGCTCCCAGGAGCATGATGACAAGAGCGACGACTCCGAAGTCCGCATCGCTTGTGACTGGGCTAACCTTAGTCCCTGGTTCGAATCTAGCCACGTTCGGGGCGCCACTACGACGCCCCCATTGCCTATGGTAAGCGACATCTTATGACAGCACCGTCAATATCTCTTCGCATATGAGTCCCATGTGGGCAAGAACTCATAATGAACTGATTTTCCCCAGGCAGGGCATTGCGGGCAGGGAGATATGATTCGATCGAGAGAATTCGCTCGAAGCACATCTGCTTCCTCGCCTTCGGAGGGGAACGAAGACTGCCCTGGGTCTCGCCAGTGTTGGTATGATCTTTACCCTTTGAAAAAGATGGCTATTAGTTCACGACTTATATCGGTCAAAGGGCTCCCATAAGAACAGAAGAGGCAGATCTTCGTAATCGCCTTGACCAGACATTCGCTCTTTGATAATGGTATTCCAGAACCCCGTGTCAAGAAGGATGATGGTACTGCTGGTGTTCCGCACTGCTGGCTAATCCGTTAGTTGTTGTCCCTTATTAGGGGGCGTTGGTCTCTCTACCTTGGGAACAAGTCAGTCGAGTTCCTTGCCATTGATTGAGTGCATCCTTTGTAGATGCATTCGCAAATCCGTTCAATGTCTGAACACTCTGTTGGGTTGCATATTTTGGGATCTGCGATTGGGCATGTGGCCTCAAACCCATCATGATTTCTCATTTTGTGGTTGCTTAGATCATTGCCTCTCAGGAACGGTCCGGCCGGGTACTTGTCGCAGAAAGCTGGCTTGTAATTGTGTACTTGTGCCACATGCTGTTGAACTTGGCGCTGATTAGTGCCAGAAATAGGAGGCATTCTTTCTTACCTGCAAGAGCTTTGACGATACAGTCTCCTCGATCGTGTAACCACCCCTGCTGCTCATATACCTGGCCCAGTTCGCGCCGTACACAGGGAAGGAAACATACAATTCCGTTCCATTCTGGGAGATAGAGGCATCTTCGCCTTCCTCTTTCACATTCTGCGGTGCAGAGGTGCAATCAACGAAGCACTCTAGGCTTCGCAAGTGCTGGTTATTCACAGCGGGCGATGGCTTGTATCCGTCGATGATAGTTGGGGATATCACGTCTCCCTTTCGCGAAGAATGGCCCCAACGGTCATACCGTTGGGCCATGCGAGTGTAGGTATTCCTGGAGTGCATCAGGGTTCCTGCCATACTTTTCGAAGTCTGGAAGCCTCGGAATAACGACCACTCCCATTCCCAGTCTTTCTGGGCTTGAACCCAATTCGGCGGTTCGATGAGCCACAAGGACCTTCGCTCACCGTATCTCATACGGCAGTACTAGCTGAGTAACGCGCGAGAGTCGTCATGTCAACCAAAAATGACCATTACACTACCAAAAATGGGCAACCCACTTAGTGGTATGTAAGGTGTAATATATGGCTGTAGATGTGGTTTGACAGTAACCATGCTCACGTTCAATGACCTCTTCGCTGTCTTCGCTGTCTTCGCTGTCTTCGCTGTCTTCGCTGTCTTCGCTGTCTTCGCTGTCTTCGCTGTCTTCGCCACTGGACTCGCTGTCTGTGCTATGCTCGTTGTCTGCATCTTCGCCTTCACTTCCTGCGGTGCCACTGTTACCATTTCCAGGGTCGTAGTCGCCGAAGCCCTTAGAGCCGGATGTGTTATGCAGTCTCCGAATGATCAGGCGATTCTTTTTCAGATCGAGAAAGGGAATGATCGCGGTATATATAGGCTCTTGGGGGAGGTGCTAATTCACACTTTCTGCTATATACTCGTAGAATGATCACTGTTAGACCAGTGACTTATCTCTCTTCTGAGTTGGACCTGGGAAAGAAAGGTAATTCATACAAGCAACAGTGACTGTTTTTCATTCCGCATTCGCCCTAGAAGGTGACACTTACGCTTACTTCTTAAGAGTAAACAGACCCGTTTGCCTATGAGTGTCGATTGTTCATTATTAGTGATCATGTTTGCTTGCAAACGCCATACAAATCAATATCATACAGAACGCCAGACCAAACACAATTTGCAGACTTTTATCCTGCGCGCAGATTCAAAGCTTCATACCATGTCCATTCTTTTCGTGTGCATTCATCGTAGCCAGATGCAACACTTTTCCGGGAGTGATTAAGCGCCCTCCTCTTCAATGCGAATGCTTCCTTCATTACCGATTCCGCTGGACCAGAATCCGTCCACCGACAGGGTGCTAACGGGGTCAGTATGCATTCACTTCCACAGTCAAAGAGTTACTCACAGTCCAGGGGAGCTGTCATGTGCGATAAGTAGCCAGTATCCGATGATACCCTGGGTAAAGATGTCGTAAATGGCAAAGATGACGGTCTCCGCGTTGACGTTCATCTTCAGCGCAAGAGGTCCTGCCGCAATCGCCCTAACCCACTATTAGCCCTACGCATTATAAAGAGAAGAGGGGGCAAGAACATACACAGGATAAAGAGCCTTGACAAACAAGGTCACCGCCGAGATCGTGCCAAAGAACCGCTTAATCTGCACGTCTTTATTGACCGCGGCGCGCGATCCATTGATACCAATGTGATACACCGTAGTCAAATAACCAATTGCACTGATGGCGAACCACGCCCAGCGACGAGCCGTGTGGCCGGCAAACGTGCCCAACAAGCCCGAGCCGAGCATGACGTAGTCTGCGACCACAGCGGAAAGCAGATGCGCACCGGGCAGGCCAGAGAGCAGGGCCAGGTTAGCGAGGATGAGCGGCTCTGTCAAGAACCAGTTGAGGTAGCGCAACCAGAACACCTGGCGGTAGTACTCGTCCGTAACGTTGGGGACGTGCTTGTGGTGTTCGCGGATGAGGTCATGCTTCCAAGTGATGCCCTGGCCGGTAGCGAGGGCGAGATAGACGATGAAGGAGACGGTGGTGGCGATGGAGACCAGGCTGTGGAAGACGCGTTTGGACTGGGAATGTCAGAGGGTTTTGGTCTTGGGCCTGGGTGGGAGTTTGTACGTACCAGCGGAGCTCGCGCCGCGAGAATGTAGAAGACCAGCGACGAGAGGGCCATCAACACGACGACAACCCTAGTGGTTCGATTGTCAGTCTTGGATGCTGTCGACCAGAACGTAGAGAACTGTACCATAGTGTTCGTGCTCCGGTCTTGTCGATGGATTGATAGACCGGGGTGCCGGGAACCACCGTGGGAATGGGAGCCACGGACGTCGTTGTTCCTGGTTCAGGAAGAGGGATAGGAGCGGTCTGCATGGTGTCTGGGATCATCATGATGGGCGTTGAGCATAGATGGAAATGGAGTTAAGGCCTGGAACTGTAAGAGAGGCAAACGCGCATTCTTAAAAGGTGGTTGGGGTCACGCAACCTTCGTCATTCTGACCTCGACGCTGGCGTCATCGACCACCTGCAGGCATTCCCGGTTATTCAGCGGAATTCCCTTCCGTAACCACCGCGCTATACTTCAGATTAATATAGAATCAAATATTATTCTTGCCGTATCTCGTTCGTATGTCAGATTTGCTTCTACGATTGCTTGGCAACGTCTCATCCCGATAGATAGAAGCTGGATACATGATTTGTCTACCGGAGCAGTATAGAACCTCCTTTTCATACATCGACCTCATAGAATCATAGCTTTCCTCCCCTGGCAAATCCCGGTGAGTCCCTGGCGGTAGGGAATCTCCTCAACCTTCTTACCGTTTAGCAGTCGTACTACCTTCAGCTCAGAGACCAGATCAACCCGTCGTCCCGCAACGAACTTCTCCTCAATCTCCCGCGGGAACAAGATGGACACCTTCTTCATGGGTAAAGAGAGGTAGAAGCCCGCATCAACACAGTCATTCCTGAAATGAATGCATCGGAGCCGTGCCGGATCGAACCAATGCAAGAACGCGTCTGCATCGACGACGAATCCAGTCAGGGTCAGGGTGCGAATGGAGAGTCGATTCCGCGTACGACCTCCCAGCGCCATTGCACGAACCTTGGCCTTTTCGATGGCCAGTTTGTCCAAATACTCGCCGACACCGATCTTAGGGGAGAGGTTTCCGTCGCCATATTGGCCGCTAAGCATCACTTCGTTAGCCCGTTCCCATTGTAGTATGCACAAATACAAAACCATGTAACACCATGCAGGCAGAAGGATGCTTACTAGTAGACCGGCTCCCCGTAATTCCTCTTGCTCAACCTCCATCCGCCCTTAATATACGGCCATTCCTCATTGTATCCACGTCGAATACGTGGTGGCAGCACCATCTCCAGTTCCAGTTCCTCCAGTCTGGGATTCAACCACGCCGCCTGCCAGATATACTTCTGATACGACTGTATCATGCCGGTGAGCTTGAGGACGCGCAGGTTACGGAACTCGCACAATGGAGCTAGTTCTTCTATGGGTAGGATGTCTGTGTCACGGCTAGATTGCTCCGTCATCGACTGGAAGACATCTAATCCAAGTTCCTGACGGTTTTTCGGGATGTAGCACCAGCCGATGCCGCCACGGAAACTCATGAGAGGTCGATTCGGTGTCGCTTACTCCATATCGGTAAAGGGCGATCCGTGTGCGTCTGTACAATCTTCTGGTTTATTGCCTCCTGTGAACATCTCGAACGACCGTCGAAGGAGCGAGATGGAGCGCCGACCAACATCGGATACCACACTCGAGGACCGAGACCGCGAGCGACGTGGTCTGGAGGAGTCGAGGGTGCGACCACGCAGAGCAGAGAACATGTTCAGGCCAAAAACATCGCTCATGCTAGACCGGCGGCGGTGCGGTTTGGCGGCAATGTTTTCATTCGAGGTGGTGGCGGTTGTGCGGTCGAGGAACTTACTTGCTTCGATGCGGTCGTTGATGGGTTTGTTGTACTCCTCTGCATCTTTCCAGAAGTCTTGACCCAGGAGGGTTTCGTTCCAGTGATGGGGATAGTCCTCCATCCCAAGGGTTGGCTGGGTCACGGAGATCGTGGAGATTATGGGAATGAACGAACAGTAGAAGAGCTGGGACATGTGGAAGAGAGTTTGAGGGTAGAAAGGGAATCAGGGTCGATAGAAAGAGGTACCTGAGCAATTGATCGCGTCTATAGTCACTGTTAACAACAACTTAGAGACATATTCCGTAGAATTCTAGGGTGTTAGACACAATGGCTTCACTATTTGGAAGTGCCATATATGTCAACCAATGAAGTGTATATCCTAGATCTTCATGGACTCGAGCCAAATCAGGCCTGTATAGCCTTTGATAGAGGGAGGGTGTCATCATACGTGATCTCTGAGGAGTCCTTTGAGACACTCAAACGGTCATAAATGTCTGGACTTGCATACAATCTCGCACATACTCGAATCCTATATGACTATAACCTTTGTGACACTCTTTATTGCAATATCATACGGATGAAACAGTCCAATATTCCGCCTAATATGTCTATTTCACTTCATTCCTTTGATCTGAGAGGCTACCGCTTGTGTTGTTCATTGTGGTGGGACACTATATATATCTCCACAATGAGCTCCATTGTCCCCACAATATCAATGGAATTACTGCGAACCGTCATGCTTTATCAGAGCTTCCATGTCGTCCGAGCCCCAATCCTGACCCGTAAACCCCAATCGAAGCGTTCAAGGACTTCTCATAATCTATGGAGTACAACAGACGCAACTACTCCGATACTACGCACCGAACTATCCAGACAAGAGCCTGGATTTCACGTTCATTTCCTTTTCCTACCGTAATTACATCCATGAGTCGCGTTACCAGCGTTGAACGTTAAAAGCTTTTATTTTCCAGCATTTCCGATCCTACAGCCAAAGAAGAAAGGTAGAAGTCCGTGGGTAATGGGTCGATCAAAAACAATCATGCAAATTTATTCCCGTCACAGCACTATCTTAGTACTTCTTGCCCTGGCGCAGAACGTCACCGAACTCCTCCAGAGGGCTGCGGATGAGCTTAGTCTCCTTCCAAAGGTTGGGGGTGAGGAAGCCGTAGGTGTTGACGACGGCAAGGAAGGTAGCCTTGAGGGTGTTCTCGAGGGTCTTGGTGGAGCCGGAAGAGCAGGTGTAGGCGTCCTGGACACCGGCGAGCTGGAGCAGACGCTTGACGGCGGGGGAGGCAACGAGACCGGTACCACGGGGAGCGGGGATAAGCTGTGATATGATTAGCAAGCTGACCGGGTATCGCAGCGGAGAATCTGAATCCTTGCGATTCAATCGAGGAGACGTACTCTGACGGAGACGGAACCACACTTGGCGCTCTGCTTGACGGGCAGAGAGTGAGGCTCACCGAGGTTGGTACCCCAGTAACCGCGACGGACGGGGAGAACGCTCAGCTTGGCGATGATGATGGCGGCACGGATGGCAGTAGCGACTTCCTTGGAGGTCTTGATACCGAGACCAATGTGGCCCTCGGAGTCACCGATGACAACGACGGCCTTGAAGCGGGTACGCTGACCAGCACGGGTCTGCTTCTGGACGGGCTTGATCTGTAGAGAGAAAAAGAGAGGGTCAGCGGTGGTTGCTTGAAAAATTTGACCCCTCTAGAGTCCTAAAATCCCCGATATCACGATCCAGCGGTTCTTCAATTGTGATCGCATTCTTCCACCTTGTCGCGCAAAGCCGCTTGCCCAGCAATTGGGAATCCCGCTGGTCGATCAATCCTCCGGTGGTGATGCTATCTCGTTCCGTACCTTCATAACCTCATCCTTGAGCTTGGGGAGGAAGAAGTCCACAATCTGGTACTCCTTCACAGGCAGGGAGTGCAGGTAGATCTGCTCCATGCTGGTGATCTTGCCGGCCTTGACGAGACGGCCGAGCTTGGTGACGGGCTGCCATTCCTTCTCCTCCTGCTTTCCACCACGACGACCACGGCGGCCACGACCACGGCCACGGTCACCACCACGGTCACCGCGGGAGCCAAATCCTCCACGTCCACGAGGAGCGTCAGCCATGTTGTATCGATATGGCGATTGAAAAGAGATCAACCGAGGAGGGTGGTAAGGAGGGACGGGAGGGTGTCGGTGGTTGTCGACTTTTTTTGTTCGCGGTCGAACTGACTATGGCGCACGACTGTTTGGTAACCAAAATTGGGGCAGCGGAGCGGGTGCGCTAAGCGAGCCCTGGAGCCCTATACCCTAGGCGGTGACCCGATCGGGCCACCCGATCAGGGCGGGGTCATGTGACGGGTGCATTTCCCGATTGGGACATTTTGCTCCCCAATATGGCCCTGATTGTCGCTCTTGTGCTGCTCTTATCGGCCGGCGGTCTGCGATGGATGATCAACTACTTATATCATAGCATATCCACTCTGACCTGTCTTCCCTGTTGCCATTGTTTGGCGTTCATTCCTTTTCCTCACTCGTTTGCTTCTTCTACTCTTTTCATCCGCCGTATTGTCCTATATTCCCTTCTTGATATTCGCCTCAAACATGTTCCGCTGGTATGTATACGCCCAATCGGTCCATGGTTCTTTGTTCGGAGTCTAACGCTGTGTCGATAGGTATCAGTCAAAGTTGGCCAAACAGCCAATTCTCACTGCAAGTGTCACCAGTGCGGTAAGATTATTGTTTACTCTTCGAATCGTATCCGTCTTGACTGACGCAATTTAGGTGTTGTTCGGTAGTGGTGATGCTTTGGCCCAACAGGCGGTTGACCGGAGAGGTCTCCAGAAGCATGATTTCGCTCGGACGGGTCGCATGGCTCTCTACGGTGGTGGTCAGTTTGCGCATCTCTCTGGTTAAAGACAATAGGTCTTAAATGGTCCAAACTCACACGCTCCAGCCATCTTCGGTCCCGCTGCCACGACGTGGTTTGCCTTCCTCCAGCGTAATGTTGTCCTGAAAAGCACCAAGGCAACCATCGTGGCCCGCGTGGCGGCCGATCAGGGCCTCTTTACCCCCATTCATCTCACTTGTTTCCTGTCCTCCATGGCTATTATGGAAGGCAGCGATCCGATCGAGAAGTGGTGCAACAGCTTCCTCCCCAGCTACAAGGCGAACCTCACTATCTGGCCTCTAGTCCAGGGTGTCAATTTTGCCTTTGTGCCTTTGGAACTTCGGGTGTTGGTTGTTAACGTGGTTAGCTTGGGTATGTATGCCGTTTCTTTGTTGGTTTCAACAGCCTCACTGACCGATGTCTCAGGGTGGAACTGTCTGTTGAGTATGATCAACAACAGCGACAAATGATGTTTTTCTCCGCATTTTCTCTTCAAAGACCTGGATTCTAGATACCCCTTGATTGTACAATTGATATAGATGTCTCACTTGCAGTCGTGTTTCCGGGGTCATGAAGGTCTTTGTATTCGTTTCGGGCGCTCTGTATTTGTTTGATTTGACTTGATTCTTTTCGCGGCATGACTCGAACATAAGATAGATTGTACAGTAGCATAATAGCTATTGAATCTGAGTTGATCGATAAATACCTAAGGTACATCTACCAGAAGATCTGATGATGTTGTTCAAGTATGGAACTAGGGCTGCGGTTCGGCCTATGAAAGACGGCCAATGGGGCTTGGCCTAAACAGGAAAAGCTGCCAACCGGCCATCCCCAAACCCGCTTCAAAACTTCATACCTAATTGTGAGCATCCCGCAGCGTCACCACCACCGCGTTCACCTTCGACGTCCGCTGTGATCTGCCTGGAGCAGACGTTCGAATTCCGTGTGCATTCCTGCGCTTCATCCCATCTGCGCTCTCTTCCCTCTCGTCCGGGTCGATCCTTCCTCCACGCCCGTTAATCCTCACAAATTTTGTCTTCGCCCACCGAGACTTTTCTCTTCCGGTCAACACTTCGCTCAGCTTTCTCTCCACCCCGCTTGTCTTCTGTACCGGTATCGCTTGATTTACCTTCCATCTCTTCGCCTATTTTCGCAATTTTCCTACCGTCATAATGGCCGCTGTCGCAGAGAACGGCGCCGCCCCGGTCACCAACGAGAACTCCGCCCCCAGTGTGGCCGCCGCCGAACAGAAGGACCAGACCGAACAGACGAATGGAGATGCCGTCACGGTGTTCCACGACAAGGAGAACTTCAACGTCAAGCACCCTCTTATGCATGAGTGGACTCTCTGGTTCACCAAGCCTCCCAGTGGCAAGGTATGGAGGAGCCCCACGACCTCGACTCCCAGCCGGCTAACCACCCCATGTGAATTGTAGGGCGATAACTGGAATGATCTGCTGAAGGAAGTTGTCACGTTCAACTCTGTCGAAGAGTTCTGGGGAATCTACGTAGGTCGCCTTGAACATGCCTTCCATGTCCATCCACTGACCGGGTTATGTCTCTAGAACAACATCACACCGACCTCGGAACTGGGCCTGAAAGCCGACTACCATCTCTTCAAGAAGGGCATCCGTCCCGAGTGGGAAGACCCCCAAAACAAGCACGGTGGCAAGTGGTCCTACTCGTTCAAAGACAAGCGCTCCGTACCGATCGACGATCTCTGGCTCCACGCCCAGCTGGCCGCCATTGGCGAGACCCTCGAGAACGATGGTGACAACGAGGTGATGGGTGTCGTCGTGAACGTGCGCAAGGGCTTCTACCGTGTCGGCCTGTGGACGCGGACCGTCGGCAAGAGCATCCCCGGAGACAAGAACGGCCGCACGCCTGCCCAGGGCAAGGAAGTGCTCGAGGCCATCGGTCGTCGCTTCAAGGAAGTCCTCCGTCTCAAAGAGGCTGATGTTGTGGAGTTCTCGGGCCACACTGACAGTGCGCACAGTGGCAGCACGAGGGCTAAGGCCAAGTACACGGTCTAAGGCTGAGTTTCTTTTCTTACGATAATTCCAAATGTGTTCCACCTGTCTTTTTACGAGACGATAGAAATGCCATGATTATGGAAGCAACGCATGGGAAAAGGGGAGTCTGATGGTTGAGCCGGGGGAGGGTCCATGTCGCAGGTATGGTGAAATGTTGACGGGCTGTAGGCATTAAGGCATCAACGGGTTTCTTTTCTCAATACGTATTTCACGAGGTTGATACCAATTCAAATTATGCGCTGTTTACCAGATCAAAAGTAAAGAAAAAGCATGTCTAAAACTGGTTTGTAGGATTTGTGATGGGTAGAGGGATTGGCACTTGATCGACACCGATATACAACAAGATGCAAGATGTACCTCTCACAAGGTTGATATCATTCAAATCGTGTACTGTTTCCCAGGCAAGCAATAAGCTGCGGAACGGAGATATGTATAGAAAGGAACGCGTGGTGTTCGTAGCCCTGTAGATACTTAGTGATGGTTTAGGGGTTGTTACTATTGCCATGTGGCAGCTTGATATATAACAGTACCTATACAACAAGTCGTACTCCTCATGGGAGTTTTGTTCATTTAATCCAGCTATATCATGCACTGCTAAGCTACGCGAGAAACTACCATGGAAGGGAACCAAATCAAAGAAAAGGTGTGGTCGTACTCCTCATGTGATGGTCCCAAGGCACTCTACATGACGACCTGAATAGGCCTCAATTTGCAGCAATACGTCGTTCTCATTGGGAAATTTGATCATTCAATGATACCATGCGTATATGGAGAGGAATTGCGCAGGAAACGGAGAGTAGATACCTACGTATACAGACTTAGTCCATCTTGGTGGTTTCACTACGTCGGTATTTGAGGCGATTTCTCGACATGACATCGTTGATAGTCCCCAAATAGGAACATGAAGTCCAAACATCGTCCTGCTACCCGTTAATTCCCGGTGTCTACTCGATTGTTTGACTTGTTGGGAACTTCTGTGGCTGTGTCGCCGTCGACCAGCTTCATGATGAGGTGAATAGTGACGATAATGGAAGGTCCCGTTGGCCATTCACTCGACTCGTTTGGCATCTGTGCTCAAGGGAAAGCCCCATCGACGTATTCACTACGTTTCCTGTGATGCCAGCCCTGAATCACCCGCCTGCCTATATACCCTTTCCTCCCCCCTCCCGGTTCCCTTCTCTTTCTCTCTCCCACAACCATCTTCTTCTCTTCTTCCAACCACATATCCGACACCACATTGTCTTTTTATACATCTAACAAGCGACTGGAAGTGCTGGGAGCTCGACATATCCGTATCTGTCTTCAGATCAACTGGATTTGCGAGGTTTTCAGACACATCCGTCTGCTTCAAGGACCTTCTTAGGTCTCTTGTGACGGAACAAACTGCTGTATGATCCCTCCTCGTCCGACTCTTCGACCTTATCCTGCTAACATGTGTTTCTATTGTCTTATAGGATCGGCTTCTCTCCTCGTGAGATACGGGCCCAGTATAGGTTGGGTGGTTGGGCTGGGCCTGGGCTAAGTACCTGCTGTGCTCCCAGCAGTGGATCTCGAGGATCTATCCTCATCTCGTCGTTAGAGCTTCTCTACTGACCTGTGGTACTCTTAGAGAACCTTCGATCCCCTTGTGGGATGCGGGCCTGGTATGGTTGGGTGGTTGGGCTGGGCCTGGGCTAAGTATTCCTCCCTGTTCCTCCTCTTGATCTTGACACTGATCTGACCTCCAGTCTTTGGAACCGCTTGTCTCTTGAACCATCAAGGGCAAGCTTACACAGATTTAAAAAAAAAAATCGACACACCGATACTCTGACTCGCCAGCATCGATAAGGGTAGGTAGGGTGGGCCAAGCACGACAATAACAACAGCACCAGCAACGCCATCAACATTCTCTTCGACACAGGCCAGCATTGGATGGGTGGTTGGGCTGGGCCTGGGATGTGTACCTCAGAATACCTCTAAGTATCTCCTCCTACCCTTCATTTTGACCTTGACACTGACATGATCTCCAGCACACAGCTTTCTACTCCCCTGAGGCCAGCATTGGACGGGTGGTTGGGCTGGGCCTGGGAACTCTCCTATCCATCTTCGACTACCCTTTCTTCTCTGCCTCCCCTCCCCCCTTCCCCTTTCGCCTTCACCCACCCGGTTCCAGATATAACAGCAAAAGCCCGTTGGTTGGGTCGGTTGGGTGGGCTTGCGGTAGGGTCTTCCCTGTATATCTGTCCCGACTTCTCTCGTTGTTCTCACTTCACCCCTTCTCTATCCCGGCAGTTCGCAAGAACAAGCTCGCGTGGTTGGGTGGTTGGGTCGGGCCTGGGATCATGTATATAGTTGCGTTTGAATTTGTTTTCTCTGGCTCATGGAGGGTTGGTTGGGCTGGGCCAGGGCACTAACTCACAGCACTAACTATTTAGGGGCCCATGGCTGGGTGGTAGGGTTGGGCCAGGGGCAAGTATGTGCTGCATCTTCTTGCCTTCTTTTGCATGTTGTTTTGCATGTACTTTTGCATTTTCTGTTCCATGTTCTTCCATCTTGTATCTTCTTGCATCTTCTTTTCTCTGGCTCATGGTTGGGTAGTTGGGTTGGGCTAGGGACGAGTATCTGCTTGTCTTCTGTTGCATCTTCATTTGCATCTTCAGTTGCATGTCCCTCCTATCCTTTGTATCTCATTGCATGCTCCTTTTGCAGTTCTATCTTTGTTTATGTCTTCTTTTGCATGTCCTTCCCGTCCCTTGTGTCTCCTTCCATCCCTCCTTCTCTGTATGTTCTTATTTGCTTTTGTATTTTCGTTTTTGCCTTATTATCCATCTCTGTTTGCATGTTCTTTGTATCCTTTTGCACATCATTGTATCTCTGCACATCTTTATCCACTCTGGCCTACGGAGGGTTGGTTGGGTTGGGCCAGGGCACTAACCCACAGTACTGACAATCTAGGGGCCCATGGCAGGGTGGTTGGGTTGGGCCTGGGGTAAGTCTCTACTAACATACAGGTCCATCGACTTTCGAACTCTGACCTACGGTGGGTTGGTTGGGTTGGATCAGGGTACTAACTCACAGCACTAACTACCTAGTATTTAGCGGCCCATGGTTGGGTGGTTGGGTTGGGCCAGGGACAATGTCATCGAATGCATTGTCGTATGTGATTTGCATTGCCATATTTTGTGAGTGCACTCTATTTCTGCGCTGGTTGATGACTGCTTGCTAACTTGACTGGCTTTCATGGATATCCTGTCATCATCGCAGCTCCAGTTGTGGTCTACTGTCGGAGGACTTGGAGAGACCAATATGTTTTGTACTTTGGTGTCTCTCAGCGAACCACTTTGCATGTCGGAGGACACCAAGAGGTCAACATGTTTTGTACTTTCATGTCGATCATCGAACCACTTTGTATGCCGGGCTAGACTGGAATGGGATACAACAACCTCTGCACTCATGCTCTGCATCCACTCAACGTAAGTTAACACTATGACTGGGGATGGACTATCCGGTGCAGTCCTGTGAATGTGGATGGATCATAGTAACGCCGATTGGCTTTCCACCGAGTACAGAGATTTCATCCAACTACACCGATGACCGGACTTCATCTTGAACTCGAGGCAACTTTGATGTTTATACGAGTTCCTGGCAGCTGTCCCTCTTCAACCAATAGGAAGCTCAAGGGTTGACGTGATTACCTTAGAGCGGTGGAGTCGTGGATCCGTGCTGGAGTCAGATTTACAACGACGGCAGAAATCGACCGAGTGGGAGCATCTGCACAGTGTCTACGGAGTAGTCAAAGTACCCCTTGGATTGTGATGTTTCCTTGCGAAGAGAGCAATGGATCAGCAAGACAGCGGGGTGCTTGGCCTTCATCGAACCCAGAGCAAGGTTGTTCACTCTTCATGAGTCATGCGGCTCCGTTGAGGCTGTTGGTCATCTTAGTACTCCATACTCCGTAAGAAGTTTCGGGATCCTTCCGGAGTTGTTGCCCTACTCCGAAAAGCTTGTACCTAATGCTGAGGCTGCGATCCTTCACGCCCTTCGCGGTGGGCAGGCCGGCACAACCACCAACGACATTGAGCGCACTGCCTTTAGCCAAGAGGATAAGACAAGCCCAGACTGCCGAATGACTGTCCAAGCACGCCATGCCATCATTGGGCCAACCACGAATGGCTTGGCTAGGACGACATCGGCGTGCGACAAATGTCCTGCGCAAGGGGCACTCCGTAGTATTCCGTAGGGCTCCGGAGTACATACACGACGTCTCGGGCCGAGGACGAAGGAGTCTGTACGGAGCTCCTCGTCTGGAATGCTTGCGATTGGCAGCGTTCCTGGCGACATGCCGCGATGATGTGCAGTAGATCGTTGACGGAAGGTCCATCACGTCAACGGGGGGAACATGGGTTCGACCAGCCAAGGCGATATCCGGTGACTCTGTTGCGGGATGATCAGAGGTATGGAAGACGAGACCCAATGAACGGTGGACGATTGAGCGGTGGTTGATGGAGACGAATCCTGGGGAGGGCGAAGTCGGAGGGCGGCCTGGGCGATAAGGCCGCCAACCCTCCGTATTTAACGCTGGTCTGGCCACTTGCCCTGCAGCTGCGCCCTGCGCCCTGTTCAGCGACTTTTGTGCACCCTGGCGCCTCGTTTTGCGACACAATGAATCGTTTATCGACCTGATCGACTCTCCCCCTATGGACCAACTATTATGGAGTCTGGTTTTCTGTCAATCCTCTCCTCGTCTACCCCAGAAATTGCGACCTCCCCCCCTTTTTCTCCTCAGGACAGCTCTGTGGGCGGCTTGAGCCGACTCCACCCCGTCGCGTTACCTCGCCAGATACCAGTTCTTATTACGCAGTCAGACGTCCCGCAAGAAGCAATCAGGCAAATGAAGCGATCGTGATTGGTCACGATATGCCAATGGATGAGCGTCCCTCCGCATTCCGGGGTAACGTCGCATTCAGGCGTTCAGCCTATCCACGATGGGGATAGGCCACGAGAGCGGATGGAGACGCCTGCAGACGGGTGGTTCGAAACATCCGAGACATCTCCCTTGCTCCCTGCGATAAGCCCATTACCTCAATACTCAGGACGACAACACCCACCACCCGCGGACGGCTGAAAGCTTGTTGAGAGAGATGTTGCATTGACTGGCCTCTTCACCGGCTAATTCAAGCGCTTTCCCATGCGGGGATAACCGACGTCGCATACGGACTCCGTCTCCCTGCCGATCGCACACCATCTGACGGCCTCTCATACACGCTGAATCCCACTGGCAAAGCGGGGATGGATGCCCTCGAGGATCCAACCCCAGGCCCCGACTCGACAATTTCGGCCTGCATCTCGTGCTACGAATCACATCTTGCGTGCTTATCTACCGATGGAGACCGAAACCACGCTGGTCCGGCCAACTATCTCAGCTAGTTGATTGTGTTACCTAAAAGGATTCCGTCTGGTACCGGTGGCGAACGGGCCAGCGAAATTTCCTATTGACTCCCCAGTGCGGCAGCGGTCCCAACCGAAGACGGCTATTTTTTACTGCGTTTGTGTGTTGGACCTCGGCCCAGGTGGCTGGAATGCGATGCCATCGCAGTTGGGAAGAAAAGAAAAGAAAAGAAAAAAAAAACAACAATATTTTTTTTTCTATCTCTAAGTTTGATAGAGGATTCTGACAAGCAAATCCGGTCCCTGACAAGAATTCCAAGAGATTGCTTACTTCCACCGGCAATCTCCGACTGGTTGGCAGTTATCTGGTCAGCTCATCCTCCCTCGGCCTTCGAGAAGCATTCCGCCGCCAGCCAATCGCGCTGGTTTCCGGCCTTTCTGGGCGGACGCTTAACATGGCTTGTCAGGTCTATGCGCCGGCGCCCTGGGGTCGCATTCGTGGGTCTTGCTTCTCCTAGTGCGGCCATTCGATTGGGTTTGTCCCGTAATTTTGCTAGTCCTGGGTCTTACCACGTTTACGCCCGTCGGAGTGGCCTGGTCTGGTGATAAGACCCTCCGCCATCGCTTACCGGAGAGGAGTCTCCCACTGTGAATATAAGGTCGCGTCGCATCCTCTGCGCGCCCTCTTTCTGGACACACTCGCCCGTCGTTTGTTTCTTCTTTCCCAGCCTCGGGGTTTCTCATCTTGGCCTCTGTCAACATGGCTTCCGCAAACCATGAGGTTGAACTGACTCAGTATGTCGGCCCTTGACAGACTTTTCTTCCCTTTATCAAATTCTTCCCTCTCTTCCCTGCCTCGGTGGCATGATGCTGGCGCTCTGTCTGGTGGTCTTTTGTGCTGACTCTCCTTCAGACCCCAACAGGGCCAATCCCCGATCACCGAATTTGAGAAGTCGACCGAGGCTGTTCCTTGTGAAAAGGCTATCTCTGCTACCCCTGATGGCGAGGAGCCTAACGAGGAAGAGGCCCGGACTCTGCGCCATGTCGCCGAGAACCTGCCGGTCTCCGCCTGGCTCGTAGCGATGGTCGAACTGTGCGAGCGGTTCACCTACTACGGTATGTCGGGTTTGTTCCAGAACTATGTCAATCTGCCACTCGATGGCAGCCAGGGCCGTGGTGCCCTCGGTATGGGTCACCAGGGTGCCACTGGTCTGACTACCTTCTTCCAGTTCTGGTGCTATGGTAAGCGATCTCTCATTACGTCCTTTCTTCGCTCTCGCTGACGTTTAATCAGTGACTCCCATCATTGGTGCCATTGTCGCTGATCAGTACCTGGGCAAATACAAGACCATCGTGCTGTTCTCGGTCGTCTACATGGTCGGTCTGCTCATCCTGGTCTGCACATCCATCCCTACGGCTCTCCAGCACGGCGCTGGTCTGGGAGGCTTCATCGTCGCCATCCTGATTATCGGTCTGGGAACCGGTGGTATCAAGAGTAACGTTGCTCCTCTGATTGCGGACCAGTACAAGCGGAAGAAGATGGCTGTCTCGACCACGAAGAAGGGAGAGCGCGTCATCATCGACCCTTCTCTCACCATCCAGCGTATCTACATGATCTTCTACGGTTGTATTAACCTGGGATCGCTCTCGCTGCTGGCCACGCCTTACATGGAGCGCGACATCGGCTTCTGGTCCGGCTACTTGCTCTGTCTGTGCATGTTCACGTGTGGTTCCTTGGTGCTCGTGTTCGGACGCAAGTTCTACGTTGTGCGCCCTCCGCAGGGATCCGTCATCACCGACGCGTTCAAGGCCCTGTGGATCATGGTCGTCAACCGCAACATGGATGCCCCCAAGCCCACCTGGCAAGCCGCCAACGGTGGCAACCGCACCGTGCCTTGGGACGACCATTTCATCGACGAGCTCAAGCGCGCTCTCGTCGCCTGCCGTGTCTTCTGCTTCTACCCGATCTACTGGGTCGTGTATGGTCAGTTCTCGAGCAACTTTGTCACCCAGGCCGGTCAGATGCAGGGCCACGGCATTCCCAACGACCTGATGCAGAACTTTGACCCCATCTCCATCATCGTGTTCATCCCCGTCCTGGAGACCTTGATCTACCCCCTGCTGCGCCGTCTGCGCATCCCCTTCCGCCCCATCACGCGTATCTCCCTGGGCTTCGTCGTCGCCTCCTTGGCCATGATGTACGCCGCGATCGTGCAGCACCTGATCTACTCCGCCGGCCCCTGCTATGAACACCCCGGCTGCGATGCCTCCATCGTCGATGGGGTCACTTCCGGCAACAAGGTGCACATTGCCATCCAGACGCCCGCCTACATGTTCATCGGTCTGTCGGAGATTTTCGCCTCGGTGTCCGGTCTGGAATACGCCTACACCAAGGCGCCGCCGTCGATGAAGTCGTTTGTGCAGTCGATGTACCTCCTCACCAACGCCTTCGGCTCCGCCATCGCCGAGGCCCTGACGCCGGCCGCGTACGACCCGGCCATCCTGTGGATGTTCGTGGGTCTGGCCTGCGCCTCCTTCGCCGTCGGCATCATCTTCTGGCTCGTGTTCCACCACCTCAACTCGCAGGAAGACCAGATGAACGCGCTCGACGCCGACGACCCGGACACTCCGGGCTACGGCCAGGAGCGCCCCGCCAGCCAGGAGGGCGAGAAGAAGGACGAGAAGACGCAGGCGCAGTGAGGTCGTCCTTGCTCGCTCCTTTTTGCTCCCCTCGATTGATCCGCGGAGGATTCCGCTTTGCGTTTCTGTATTATATAATACCTCTTGTTTCTTTCTGTGGCTATACTTTTAATTCTCGCGCGCCGTGCCGAGGGCACGGTCGACTGAGCCCGCGCGGGTCCGTGTAAGCAACCTGCTGAGCAGATGGGTGACGAGATTAATGTATATATCGATGAATACATGATGATCCAACTCATATCCAGACCTAGACCTTACTATGTACACACTCTGTAGGAGTAGGCACTTCCAACGCCAGTGGGGATGCCGTCCGAAAACGGCGGATGAACCGTGGAGCCACCACCGTCCAACGGAATCTCTTTGCAACCGCAATGACACGAACAAATGATAAGACCGGTCGACTGACTAGAGAGGCGCTCGTACGCCGTGAAAACAGAACGGCGTGATGGTGGAAATTTTCCCTTGTACCGGATATGCTTCCTGAAAGAGGCTGAAGCTCCTCGGGACCCTGTCGGGTGTCGGCCAATCGAGAATTTCTCTGACAGAGCGATGGGGCTCACCAGGGGAATTGATTGGTGGCAGAGGCGATTGTTTGGTAGGATTGGGCTTAGCGGGCGGGTCTAGACTGACCGTTGGTAGTATTGATTTTTCTTTCGATTTTGCCTTCTTTTTTATTTTTTTTTTTATTTTATTTTTATTTTATTTTTATTTTTTATTTCTGCGCGATGGATGTCTAAGACAAGACCATGGGTTGCGTGGGAAATTGCAATGGTGGGACCTGCAGGCTTTTCGGCAGAAATGAGCAGGAACGAGGTGGTGCATGGCTATCCCTTGCAGAGTACTTACTGCAGATGTAGGTAGACTTAGGTACTTTCAAGGTTGTTTTATGGTGATATCAATAACCCTAATGATGAAGGCATCCGTACTGATTCGTGTATATCGGTGGAGACTTTATACTAGTACTCAATTCTGCAGGGCATAGAGTTGCTTTGTATCGATCTACGGTTTGGAAGAAGCATGCTTATCTGCAAAGTGGATATTATAGGGTAATCTGTGTTGTTCTTGTCAGGATGCGTACGGATATGCTGATCAGATGGCTGGATCAATGGAGGCATGAGGGGAGGGACTAGGCGGCGTCGGTAAGGCTTAGTATGAGCTTACTTTGGACTGACATTCATAGACACGGATCGAAGTGGACGTTCATAGTATTATGTTTGAGTAGGCTTGAGTAGGTAGGTTAGGAGGAACTGCTGGTAGTTGGGATGTACATTCCCGATATATATCTCAGGATCTTACTCAAGTAGAGACCTTTTAGCGAATGAAGATGGAATATTATTCTGCCTAGCCGAGAAAGACTGATAGGAATGCAAGAGAAACATCAAAATATATCTGCCTACATTCAGAGTGGCAGTGCAGATTCGCCATGGTAAATATAGTATCTGACAGAATAAAGCCAGACTACTCGACAAAGAACAGGGTAGTGCACAGTACAGAGTATGCAGCTAGGCAGATATGAGGGGTGTTGCTAAATAAAGATGGATCCATCCCTGCAGAAGAACTGCTGTCAGTCAGGGTCTAGTGGATCTCACGTGGGACCAAGCCTTGCTAGTAGACACGATGAACACTGGAGGATTATCGAGTATGCTCTACGTCAGTTCCACATAAAATGGTAGTTACATAGTAAATTGAAACCATTCAGAGAGCTTTGGGAATCTGAAACACGAAGCTGGGTGAAGGTGGGGGACGTGGGAAATTGACATAATCTCGCATAGATGAACCCAAGAAATCAAAGTACTCCAGAGTACACTCTGTACAGCACACCACCGTTGCTACCGAAGTCTAGAATTAAGCTTGACTCGTGTCTAATGTTAATTCTTCATTGAGTTTGAAGCTATGCATGATGCGGCTTGGTGAACCACCTACACATCCATGTGTTGGTAAGTAGAGGCAGAGTCCATGACGTGCAGAACGGTCATGGCGGGTGTTGATTGGATGGGGCTGTTTGTTCTGAAGTCTCGGATTGGGACCATTCGGATGTCCGGAGAGCAGTCCAGACACGAGGAGATTCCTGGGATTATGGGTTTCTATGGAAGAGAAGGGATGTGATGCAGAACTGTCAAGTTGGTGTAGGTAGACTCGGACTAAGAAAGATGCATTTAAGATCAACCTCTGACCGAAGGTGAAGGTATCTATAGTACTCCGTACAGATACTTGTAACTATACCTAGGTATGTACCTAATAAGTACCTACTACTGCTACTAGATACTCATACTGGTTAGACACTCATAAGAAGAGATTGAAAAGGGGACGAGGATCGGCGTCGGTCTGTGCAGCCATAGCCCCTAACTAATCTCAACTAATATTAATGCTAATCACAATTTTCCCCTGACGACTTCATGGATAATTATTTTCAGCAATCAGTAGTGTAGAATAAGGTGAAGAAAACAGAATAATAGAGTAAATCAATTCATCACACTCTAATAAGTCAATTGGATTGAGGTTGGAATTCTACGCTGTGGCTGCGCGGTGACGGACCCAGAGGGAGCAGCAACGGCCACTCACTCACTCACCTCAGCCGCGTGTCTCACTCAACTCTCTTTCTCTCTCTCTCTCCCTCTTCCTCTTCTTCATCCTCTTCATCCTCTCCCTCCATCCATCCTCTGATATTTTCCTTCTTTCCCTCCTTCCTCCTCTTACTTTCTCCCGCCTCTGGGCGTTCTTTCTACCTCCTTAATCTCGTCCTCGCGTTTTCTCCGATCTCCCGATCTCGTTGCGTGTTTGCTTCGACGTAATATTCCCGTCCAATCCGAACCACGACTGTCCTCCCTTTTCTATCCTCTCTTCGATCCGACCCTCGCGAGCTTCTCACAACCATAATCCGACCGTGAATCTTCGATAAGATCCTCTCGCTTCACAATGAGTGTACGTGGGCCTGTCGCAGCCGCTTACCCCTCCCTAGTGAGAGGTCCAAACATCGCGCGCCTAACACCTCCCACCTTCTAGTATCAGGATTACGGCAACAACCAGGGCGGTTACGGCTCCTACAACCCCTATGGCGGTCAACAACAGCAGGCCTACGGTCAGAACCCGTACGGTCAGGCCAATGCCATGGAGCAGGGCAATGGTAGCTACGGTAAGCGCCAAGCCCGGCTTGAGCCACTGCATCCTTCTAGAGTGTACTAACTCGTGTTCGTGTCCTCAGAGATGGGCCAGATGGGCGCCCAGCAAGCTGCCGACCCGGGCACCCTGCTCAACAAGTGCCGCGAGATCAACGAAGGTATTCGCGACATCACCGCTAAGCGCGAAGGCCAGCTTGTCGCCGCTCAGAACGCCCTCCTCGACTCCAGCACCGGCAAGGAGGACCAGGTCGCCCGCCAGACCCTCGACTACATCGAGGACGAGATCAACAATGGCTTCCGCTACCTCCGCGACCAGATGAAGAAGATCAAGGACACCCCGGGCTCCGGCGACAACCGCGTCCAGACCCAGGTCGATGTCACCAGCCGCAACTTGCGTCGCGAGATCGAGCACTACCAGCGTGCCCAGAAGGACTTCCGCGAGCGCCTGCGCGACCAGGTGCGCCGTCGCTATGAGATCGCCAACCCCGAGGCCACCAGTGAGGAAATCGAGCAGGGTGTCGACAATGTCCTCCTCGGACAGGAGCAGAGCTTCCAGGTATGCTCAGCGCGGATGTTGGAATTTGGGAGGTAATGCTAATCGATATTCAAACAGGTCACCGGCAGCCGTACCCGACAGGCCAACGATGCCCGACAGGCCGCTCTGGAGCGTTCCGCCGCCATCCGCAAGATCGAACAGGATATGATTGAGCTGAGCCGTTTGTACCAGGAAGTCGCGGAACTCGTGCATCAGCAAGAACCCCAGGTGGAACAGATCAACCAGGATGCGCAGAATGTGTCGCAGAACATCGCCCAGGGCAACGCTCAGATCTCGGAGGCCATTGAGAGCGCGCGTCGCGCTCGCAAGTGGAAGTGGTATGCCTTGCTTGTCGTCAGTAAGTACACCCCCCGCCGGGACGCATTGAAAGCGCGCACTAACGAGCCTAGTCCTCATCATCGCCATCGTCGTCGGTGTGGCCGTCGGTGTCACCCAGGCCAACAAATAAACGTGCCATTGCTCTATTACGGACAATTTTGAGCCATGTCTGGTGTCAGTTCCTGCTGCACATCTCCGATACCACTTGATGCCTTGTTTCTATGGAGAATTCCCCCGTCGCACTTTGGCTACGCTTTTCTTTCTGCTTAGAACCGAAAAAATGTTCATCCGTCTTGCTCTGTCGTGCCATCTCCGATCACGGTAAGCAGAGCCGTCTGTCGTTGTTTGCTTTTCTATTTCCTTTGTTGTCTACCCCCGATGTTATACCACCTGTCTCCTGTGTTGTCGCTTGAAAAGCCCTATCCCGTCCCACTGCTTTTCTCCTTTTCTGATGGATCGTGTATAGTCCTTTTCCTTGTCCTACTGTTCCAGCGGCTAATGGCATGTCGCTGCTTTTGGCTAGGATGCAATGCTGGTGCCATGTATATATTAGAGTCTCTTCGTTGTTCTGTTCGTTTTTGGCGCTAGAATCTATGTAATAATCCACTTAATATCCAGCATCATTCGAGTCGTATGCACCTGGGTATCAACATCGTCCTCCTCAACCCTCAATATGTTCAAGCCTGGTTCTTCCGCTCCTTCTCGCGCTGCTCCTCTTCAGGCGTCCTCGTCCGCAACTGTAACGCATGGATGCCTCCCTCCTGACTCATCTCCTCCTTCAGCAGGGCGTAGACCATCCGATGGCGCGCGGGCTGCATTTTCGACTGGAACTCGGGCGAGGTAATCGTCACACTGGCGGGGTTAGCCGTACGCTCAAGAGAGTGGATGTAGGTGTAGGGAGGCGCCGAACTGGAAATGCGTCTCTTTCGACGTCGATCCCTGCATGGGCGCATGATGCGCATGCAGATGCGAGTCGTTGCGGATGACCAGCGTTGTTGGGGCCAAGGCGTTCGTGAGCTAGACTTTCCGTTAATATCTATGGATATCGTAGTGTTGTACAGCGGCGTGGTATGGCATGGGTAGAGTCGTGGGGATAGGTATGTACCTTTTCGCGGATGGTGTCTTCGACGGGCGTCGCGGAGGCCATTCTGGCGGCTGTGGAAAAGGCGCGGGGCAGGTGAAGGGCGCGGGAGAAGAGACCCGGTCGGGCGATGGGGAGGAGCATTGAGGATTGGGAAGTTGATCGAGTCGTGGATTGTTGAGAGGTGAAGGCACTCGGAGTCAGATGGAATGGGGCGTCTGGGATTGGCGGTGCGGGAGTTGCCGGTTTGGGATGGCGCCGCTTTAATTGGAGGACCTCTTCTGATCTTGCACGGCCATGGATTCTACGGAGTATAGGAGATTGATACTTTCATAAGGATAGATTCAGGCCTAGGTAGACATTTTCAGCTGCCAGGTAATTTACATCTGAAGAGGTACGAGATACGCGAGGGAAGTATTGTACTCCAGAGTAATGCCTCAGGCACCATCGGAGTATCATCGCCGATCGCCGATGACATCAACTTCCGAGTTCTCTTCTTCACCACCATACCGTTGACCCTCGATCTCACAGTTGCAGATGTCAGTCCTGTCGCGGGGCTTGGCCCCTCTATCGCGTCATCTCATACAACCATTGGCCGCAGGTAGAACCCTCAATGCCCGTTCTCGACTACTCCAGACCCGACTCCGCATACAACCGCTCTCCACGCTCCCGGACGTCCCTCTTTTCCGCGCGCTCAAGGACCACGATGCATCCCGTCTGGCCGTCGTGCACAGTGCGTCGTCGCGCTCGTTTACCTATGGGAATCTCGTTGCCGACGTCCTCCAGGCGAAGGAGCGCCTCCTCGATGCGGCTGGTAGTCGAGATGGAGTCTCCGGGGAGCGGATCGCGTTCCTGGCTGAGAATAGCTACGACTACGTAGGTACTGTTCACTTGATTCTGGACGCTTCATGGATCCCTCCTAACAGGTGCAGTGACCATGCTGTCGATTTTGGCGAGCAATGCCATCGCTCTTCCGCTTTCGCCTGCCTTTCCTATCAGCGAACTGAAGTATGTGATGGACAACTCGCAGGCCAAGGCGCTGATTGCGACTGAGAAGTACTCGACGAAAGCGCAAGACTTGTTGAAAGCTGGCCTGGATCGCGAACCAGTGCTGGACATTCGGGAAAAGATCCGAGCCGGCGCGTGTCTCTCGGATGAGGTCACTTTCGAGGACCTCACGGAGTCTCGTGGCGGAATGATGCTGTATACTTCGGGGACTACGAATAGACCGGTTGGTTCTCTCTGCAGCGCCAGATGCTGATAGCACGACGAATACTGACTACTTGCAGAAAGGTGTCCTGATCCCCCAGTCGGCGCTTACTGCGCAGGCATCCTCTCTCCTCCAGGCGTGGCACTACACCCCGCAAGATCGTCTCCTGCATCTCCTTCCTCTTCACCACATCCACGGCATTGTGAACGCGATTCTGACACCTGTTCTGGCCGGATCGTCGATTGAGTTCATGTACCCGTTCAACACCGACGCAGTGTGGAAGCGACTTGCGGCGCCTTTCCTACCGAACTCGACCGCAGACAAGATTACTTTCCTCACGGCTGTGCCGACCATATACAACCGCCTGTTGTCGTCCTTCCCTCGACTGGAACCCGAGCTGCAGGAGGCTGCACAGAAGGGAATCTCGCCCGATAATCTCCGGCTGAACATCTCCGGGTCCGCAGCTCTGCCTACCCCGACGAAAAAAGCATGGCAGGACATCAGCAACGGGAATGTCCTTCTGGAACGGTTCGGCATGACCGAGGTGGGGATGGCGATCAGCTGTGGTCTCGACTTTGCGGATCGCGTCGACGGGAGTGTAGGATGGCCGCTGCCTTCCGTCGAGGCCCGGCTGGTTGACACAGACACCAACAGGGTCATCCAGCCTGGAGAGGAGGTGGATGAGAACGGGCGCGAGCGTGAAGGCGAAATCCAGCTCCGCGGGCCCACCATCTTCCGAGAATACTGGGCCAACGAGAAGGCCACCCAGGAGGCGTTTGTCGAGAGTGACGACGGCAAGGAGAAGTGGTTCAAGACTGGCGACGTGGCGACGCGTCGCCAAGTTGACGGTGCCGGCAAAGGGACCAGTGGCGACTGGGCTCAAGGCCCGATGTACTTCATCCAGGGCCGGCGGAGCGTGGATATCATCAAGACCGGCGGGGAAAAAGTCAGCGCTCTTGAAGTGGAGCGGGAGCTCCTGTCCCTGTAAGTCTTTGCCACTGACATTGGAGCGTCTCGATGCTAACGTCTGCCCAGGCCGCAAGTCACCGAGGCTGCCGTGGTCGGTCTTCCGTCCGAGCAATGGGGCCAGAAGGTCGCTGCCGTGGTGGTGTTGAATCCGGAGAAGGCGGCCACCAGCGGACGCAATGGCAAACCCTGGGGACCGATGGACATGCGCCGAGCCTTGAAGGATCGGCTAGCGAACTACAAAATGCCGCAGGAAATGAAGATCCTCCAGGGACCGATTCCAAGGAATGCCATGGGCAAGGGTAAGTGATGTCCGAGTTGGCAATGCAGCAGTATAGACCGGCTAATATTCGGCAGTGAATAAAAAAACCCTCGTGAAGGAAGTGTTTGGTGTATAGGGTGATGTGTACGATATCCATTTGTACTATATTCGAAAAGACTCTAGACTACAGCAATTGCACATACAGTACATATTCTGTTCTTGCAACGAATTCTCCACGCTGGTCTCGGCGTGAGGAGTTTTGCTTGTCACAGCATTTTATCCGACGCTATATCCGCATCGGACACGGAAGTCCGTGTGCTGCGACATCTATACGACACCGTTGGTTTCATCGGCCCCAAAACAATGCCCCATGTCTCACGCCCTACACGTGCTATGCCCCCGGATCCCCGTATTCATCACGCTTATTGCTCCTAAAGGTGGAGGGGGCCCCTGTTGGCCCAGTATCATCTAGCTGGTTAAACCCTGCACGATCGTTTGCAATCGTCGATCTCAATTAATCGACAGTCGATAATGGCTATATGGATGAAACAGGGACAAATCCTGCAATCGGACCGGCGGGCCGGGCACTGGCAGACGGTGTCTTCAGAACGCTTGTTCAAGCTGTCGTTGTTGGACCGCAAGTATAAATACCCCATTCCCTCTATCTAGGAAGACAACAAGTCTCTCCCTCAAGACCCGACAACATGCTACGCAAATTGACACCGCTCGCTCTGGCACTCCTGCCACTGGTGGCAGGCCAGACCATCGGGGAAACCCCCGAAGTACACCCCAAACTCCCGACATGGAAGTGTAGCAATCGCCACGGCTGCGTCAAGCAAGACACGTCGGTCGTCATCGACGCCGCAACGCACTGGATCCACGAGAAGGGCGGCGAGACCTCCTGCACGGGAAGCAGCGGCCCGAACCCTAACCTCTGCCCGGATAAGGAGACCTGCGCCGCCAATTGCGTCATCGAGGGCATCTCCGACTATGCCAACTACGGCGTGCAGACCAAGGGCAGCAGTATGACCCTGCACCAGTACCTTCGCGACGGCAACACGACCAAGTCCGTGTCGCCACGCGTGTACCTCCTCGCCGAGGACGGCGAGAACTACGAGATGCTGCAGCTGCTCAACCAGGAGTTCACGTTCGACGTCGACGTGTCGACGCTGGTGTGCGGCATGAACGGCGCCCTCTACTTCTCCGAGATGCAGCGCGATGGTGGCCGTAGCGAGCTCAATCCCGCGGGCGCCGCGAGGGGAACTGGTTATTGCGACGCACAGTGTTTCAATATCCCCTGGATCAACGGCGAAGCCAACGTCGAGGGCGCCGGCGCGTGCTGCAACGAGATGGACATCTGGGAGGCGAACGCGCGGGCCACGGGCTACACGCCGCACCCGTGCAACATCACGCAGCTGTACGAGTGCAGCGGTGCCGAGTGCGAGGCGAACGGCGTGTGCGACAAGCCCGGCTGCGGGTTCAACCCGTACGCGCTGGGCGCGCACGACTTCTACGGCTACGACCTCGAAGTCGACACCACCAAGCCCATGACCGTTGTCACGCAGTTCTACACCAAGGACAACACCACCACCGGCGCGCTGGTCGAGATTCGCCGGCTGTACGTGCAGAACGGCCATGTCATCCAGAACGCCGTCGTGTCCGTGGACGGCGAGTCCGTGGACTCCATCACGGCCGACTACTGCGCCGACCCGAGCAGCGCGTTCAACCGGCTGGGCGGGCTGCAGCGCATGGGCGAGGCGCTGGGGCGCGGCATGGTGCTCGCGTTTAGTGTCTGGAACGATGCTGGCTCGTTCATGAGCTGGCTGGACGGCGGGAACAGCGGGCCGTGCAACGCCACCGAGGGCGATCCGGCGCTGATCGAGAAGTTGCATCCCGATACCCATGTCACGTTCTCGAACATCCGGTGGGGAGATATTGGGTCGACTTATCGTGGCAAGCGGCGGTAGATGCTTGACCCTGTGTATATTGCATGGCTGTACGTATGTGCCTGTAAATATGATTGCTCTCTATCAATATCTCTGCTTTGCGTATATTTCTTTCCATTTCATTAAGGATATGCCGTTGCAACTACGATATAACATGGGAATTATGATCACACATGATGTCCATCGCATTCCGTCCGGATGAAGATCCAATATTGTTGTCTATAGCAGTCCACCATGACGTCAAACACCGCGGTGGAACTTCTACGTCATAAGCTCCTCGAACTATTTAGCACCACTCAGCACCACAACTGCACAGCACTATCGCACTCCTACAACATCAACAGTTTAACGCCTATCCAAGTATCCAGACAATATGTCCAGCTTCATCCACAAAGTCGAAGACGCCTTCCACCACGGCCACCACCAGAACCACCACGACTCTACCACAAAGGAGCAGTCGCATCCCTCGACATCCGCTAACCAGGCGGACAACGAACACGGTAGGTTGATCCCTGGGATGTGTATGTAGATTATGGCGACCCGTACTGAGAGATAATAGATACCCATCACCACCACCACGACACCAGGCAGAACGCCCACCGCCGCAGACAGGAGGAACAGGACCGCGCCGATTTCCTCGCCGATAGACAGTATGACCGTGACTTGAGATCGCCTCAGCGTGGACCGGGTATTGGTTTTGAGGAGTAGTTGATGTGCGTGTAGGTGATAGATATGGTTATGGCGTCTGGGATGTATCATATTGTGGTTTGATTTGGTATGATTTATGGAGTTGCTATTCGTCTGAGATAATTATGGCAGATTGAGGAACGGTCTTGGTTGTAATGCAAATTGCTCTTTATCAATAAGACTCCTTGTAACTGAAGTATCAGAGTACAGGGCTAAAGTAACCCACCCCGTAAATATCTCCTCCCACGATTAACATACATTCTAATTCTCAGTCCGACGTTCTAATTATATGCAAATTTCATAGAATCCATCCATAACCATCCAAACGCGAGCCCAATCTAATGATGGATGGGTATCTTGACTGTGCCCGGCAACACCCCATACACCTTGTAGTAGCGCCAATCACGCACACAGATAAAAGAGAGGAATACAGCAAGACAGCTATTCGAACACATTAGTACATAATTTGAAGGAACAACCAAGGGAGAACGCACCATAAGATAAAAGCCAGGGTGGCCACGACACCCCCCAGCGGACAACTGCTTCCACTACAGGCCCCAGCAGTCGCTTTTATCGTGATGACAAAGAGCGCGAACCAGAAAACCGTGTCAATCATGTTGAGGATCATATTGGCTTTTGGGCTGGCCCATTTCTCGAATCTTTCGACATGTTCGGTGCAGAGTTGATACGCTAGAAAGAGAGCGGATTTGATGGACTGGATCGAACAAATGGACGCGTTAGTCGCCGTTATAGGTCTATATAGAATAAGGAAAAGTGTCTAGATGGGACTCACGACTGCAATTCCCCAGGAGCTCGCTCGATTGGGGGGTGTGCCTGGGTTGGCCAGGCGGGCTATCACAAATATGAATATCAACACCAGGAACACGCCCAGAGTGATATGAAGTCGTAACTTGATCTTGGGATGATTCTCGAGAGATGGCATCATTTTGCTCTGGTATGTCAGTAGGGAAAGAAAGGTATGATAGAAGTTGGGCTTTTGCTAAGTCCTTATACTTGTTGATTCCCGACCTCGTACTCGTATATGTACATCAGCTCAAATATATCGAAAGGCAGCAACGTTGTTTTGGGGCTTTCTGTCTCAGGGCGTGCTGATTCTCTGGAATTATGCGTCTTCCAAGACTTTAGTGGTAGATCTGGTCGAATTGGCATGATCGAAAGAGTATAGAATGGACCATCTCGCATTCGTATTCTTGTCCTAATCGGGACGGCTGCCTGGTATCCATATCGTTTCATATCCCGGTTGTCAGTGCAAGAGCAAGACATAGCGCCATGAGTCATTAATATCTTAGTCTTCGTCTATAACATGGACTCTGTCATGGAGACAGAGATCTCTGCCTGAATTGGCCTGTTTCTTGTCACGTATGACAGCGTTTTATCTTGTCGTGCATCGTGCTTTGCCATTATCAACACAACAAACCTATCACGATGTCCCATCCGAGTTGTAATTCAAGTTGACTTACAAGCCCCAAGTACACCCTCCATAGACAGCACAGAACTGTACCTCTGTTCCGATCTACTTTGTCAGTTCATGCGGGGATGCCGGGCGGTGAGAGCAGTAATCCATCCCGGATAGCGAGATTTGTAATCTCTCTTCTTTCTATGCTGCACGACAGCGAGAATCATTGAGTTGACTTCGCTCTCTGTTCCTCTCTAGACAAATGCCGAGCCAAAAAGGCCGGGCAACAGCAGCATGTGTCTTCTGTCGCGAGAAAAAGGTACGACCGTCGGCATATCGGTTATGTAGGATCTCTGCTGATCGGAACCTTTACCCGAATAGTTGAAATGCGACACACAGAAGCCAAAGTGCGGGAATTGCAGGATAAAAGGCATTGAGTGTCAGCAGGGTCTTGTTCGCCATAAGCCGAGGTTTGTACTGTGGCCGGTAGAGCGCATGTTCTTGCTGACGCCAGCTAGGCCCACGAATCGTCGCATCGCACAGCTGGAGCGAGAGAATGCATTGCTTCGCCGGAGGTGTAGCGAACTGGGCCGTGGGAGCTCTGAGGCGGACTGTCTTGCACAGACGGGGGAGACAGACTTCACTTCATCCAGCCCAGCTCAGTCCCAAAGGCTAGGCAGCGGGACAGGCGACCAGCTTCGTTCACCAGTCGTTTCGCATGCGGGATCGAGTGCGGAAACAGTGGCCCCGGAAGAGCCCGATAGCCAAAAGAATGCGTTACTCTACCATGGCCCAACGAGTGCGGTCTATGATGATACCGCTAGCCTGGACGAGAACGACAGCGCAATAACCGGCCTTAATAACGACGAATGGACTCGGTGTTTCCTGTTTTCTGAAACTGCTAAACAGAGTCAGTGCTGCCGCAGAAGAGACTTTGTATTATTTACTAACAGACTCAGGACAACTGGAACCACTTAATCTTGCCGCAGGTCGGCTTGACTTCGACGGGGTAGACCCGGAGATTGGGATGGAGCTGCTCTCCATCTACTGGAGTCGTCAGCTTTATACTGCCCAAATCATATACCGGCCCGTCTTCATGCGCGATATGGCGTGTGGTGGACCATACTTCTCCAAACTGCTCCTCAATGCTGTTTTCTTCGCTGTCTCCAAACATTGCACATGCCCAGAAATCCGGTCAAACCCAGATGATATCACCACGTCGGGCTATCGATTCCGTCAACGGTTCAGTGAGCTGCTTCGAGACTGTTTCGACAAGAGCGAGGTCACGACTATCCAAGCATTGCTAATTATGTCCAATGCGCTGTTCTCACGGTGTGACGAGCGAAGTCTATCGTGGTTATATGCAGGTAATGCGTTCAACATGATCATCGACCTTGGACTGCATGTGCTCCCGTCGCCGGGAAGTTTACCAGCAGAGGAGCATGAGCTTCGCAGACGCATTCTCTGGGGAGCATACTGTAAGCGCAGCCCTATAAATTTCCTTGCTTAATACTCACATCTACCAGTGATTGACAAGTACCAATGTCTCCTCCAAGGGAGACCGCCGCTTCTTCGTCGGCTCAACTTCAAGGCGTCTCTTGCCTTCCTAGACGAATACGACGAGCTCGAATTATTCCAAGATACCACGTATACAATAAAACAAAATCGGCCAAGCGTCCAATCGTACAACGTGTCGCTGCTAACAAAACTATGCGAACTGTCACTGATCATCGAGCGAATACTATGTGAAGTTTACTCCGAGCCGCGAGTGATGGGCCGCACCGATGGTCCCAGCACCCTTGACGATATAAAATCCAGTCTAGGGACATGGCGCCAGACGCTTCCACCCCATATTGACTACTTGATGTCACCGGGATCAGCGGTGATCCTGCCACAGTCTCTCTGTCTTCTGTATGCGTTCATTCGAGCCTATTGCAAATCAAGCTTACTAATACCGACAGGGCACTGTATAATGTGCTGATAATTCTTTCTCAGCGGCCTTCGATCAACGATGGCCATGGCAATGATGGAACCCCATCAACTGCACATGAGTCAGTCAATGCGTGTACAGCTGCCGCAAATCAGATTGTACAAATCTTGCGTGACTATTCCCAACACTTTTCCATTACCAGTGCACCATACCTGCTGTCCTATGCTGCATACATCAGCGCTACTATCCACGCGCGGGTTGTGGCTCAAAAGGGACCGACTTCGAGTGCCTTCCAGTTCCTCCTTCTTTGCCGGAATGTCTTGCAAGGGAATGAGCGTCTCTACGCTGCAGCAAGAAAGGCCGGAAGGAATCTTGACAAACTAATCGATCGTCTGGGAATCACCATTCCAAAAACCGACATAGCAATGGGAAGCCCTGTTGACAACTTTTACGCCGTGGAGCTTTCTGTTCCCAACAACCCTTCTCATGTTCCTGAGGTTCCTTATCCGGGAGATGAGCCATGTTATGCACCACCGAATTGGGAACTGTCCGATTTGGATCTCGAGGCGATTGCCCAGGGATTCCAGCTCGATGGAGATTTCAGCTATCTTATGTACCCATTGGGAGATTCTTGATACCTGATCTTGATAGCTGTTCGAGTGTATACATTGATCTCATCAATTCCCATACGGTCCGCGCGGGTTCCCCTCGCACAGGACTTGCTTCACCCTATTTGAGTGTTTCATTTAGTCGAGAATTGCATGAATGTAGTTCTGCTCGACTAGTGCTCAGGTCTTTCTCGTGCAGAAGGCAGATTACTAAGTCGGAACTATACAGATCTGCCCGGAAAATAACTTCCCGGGATGACCAAGAGCACAGCAAACCATTCGCTACACCACATCATGCGATTGATGTCCTCGGAGTATTACCTCCCGGACCAATACATTCTGTTTCCGGATTATGTGTCGGGGTGAAATTGGACATAAAGTGCGCACCTCCCCGTGACATATCACTGTCATCGCGTACAACGTGACACAGGACGAAAGCACCAATACTACTCGCATCATGTCGTGCTCTACTGGCAAATCTTGTGACGGCTGTTCATGCAGCACGGACCGGCCACCGCAGTCGATCAACATCGAAGATTGCATCACCGAATTGAATGAACTCCGAAGACGCAACCAGGAGCTGGAAGCCCGACTCGGAGAGATAAAACAGAACCCCACACCCCAGCGGCCCAATCGCCCCCTTCGGTCATCAGCATGGTTCAATTGCCGCGACGATCCCGGTATGACCGCCATCTATATGGAGCGCTACTTCAATTTCGGCATCACCAGAGAAGAGCTCATGTCAGGGAAGCCGATCATCGGGATTGCTCAATCTGGGTCTGATATTGCACCTTGTAATAGACACCATATCGAGCTAGCCAAGCGCGTCCGCGAGGGAATCCGTACTGCCGGCGGTATAGCTATCGAGTTCCCCACGCATCCGATCCAAGAGACATCCAGACGACCGACGGCCACTCTGGACCGGAATCTCGCGTACCTGAGCTTGGTAGAAATCCTAACCGGGTACTTTCTCGATGGGGTGGTGTTGCTAACCGGGTGCGACAAAACAACTCCCGCCTGTCTGATGGCGGCGGCTACTGTGGTGAGTGTTCTTGCTGTTGGTTTCATGCATGGGCTCATATTCTACAGAACATCCCGGCAATTTGCCTCAATGTTGGCCCTATGTTGAATGGCTATTCCAATGGGGCTCTTACTGGAGCAGGGTCAGTGTTGTGGAAGGGTCGAGAGATGTACGCTGCTGGCACTATTGACGAGAATGAGTTCATGGATTACATCTCCCGAGGGTAAGATACAACCACAGAAAAAGAAAACACTAATGCTGACGTATATAGAACTCCGTCAGTTGGCCACTGCAATACAATGGGAACTGCTTCCACAATGAATGCTCTCGCAGAGGCCATGGGAATGGCCCTCCCTGGGTCAGCGGCTATCCCCGCTGCATATCGCCATAGAGCGCAATGTGCTTACGAAACTGGCAAACAAATCATCGAGATGGTGGAGTCGGATCGCAAACCCAGCGACCTGATGACCCGCGAGGCATTCGAGAACGCCATTGTGGTCAATGCCGCCATCGGCGGGAGTACAAACGCCCCGATCCATCTCAATGCCATTGCTCAGCATATAGGCGTGAGTCTGACAATGGATGACTGGGATCGTATCGGATCCAGCATTCCACTACTGTTGAACATGCAACCATCGGGCGAGTATCTTGGTGAAGAGTATTATCGTGCTGGCGGACTACCCGCTATTATGGCAGAGCTCCTGGATGCAGGAAAGATCCACGAGAAGGCGCTGACATGTAACGGACGGCCGATTGGTGAGAACGTGCGCAACATGCATTCCTGGGATCGCCGTGTCATCCGCGCCTACGACGACCCCCTGATGGAAAATGCAGGATTCATACATCTGAAAGGAAATCTATTCGACTCGGCCATAATGAAAACGTGCGCCATATCGCCTGCGTTCCGGGAACGCTATCTGTCCAACCCTGACGATCCTGAGGCATTCGAGGGGTCCGTTGTAGTGTATGATGGTCCGGAAGACTATCATCGCCGACTGGAAGAGTCTGATATCGACGACAAGACAATCATGGTCATGCGAGGGGTGGGTCCACTGGGGTATCCTGGAGCAGCCGAGGTCGTCAACATGCATCCTCCCGGTCGTCTAATCAGGCAGGGTATTGATGGACTCTTTTGCATTGGTGATGGCCGGCAATCGGGGACGTCAGCGTCGCCATCCATCTTGAATGCGAGTCCCGAGGCGGCCGCTGGAGGCAATCTGGCTATTCTCAGGGATGGTGACAGGCTGCGTATAGATCTACGCCCACGACGTGTGGATATTATCATCAGTGACGATGAGATCAAGCAACGCAGACGGGCCTTAGATACGAAGGGCTACGCCGTCCATCCCAGTGGCACCCCTTGGCAGGAAATCTTCCGACAGGAAACAGATCAGCTTGGGAATGGTATGGTGCTGCGCAAGGCAGTGAAGTATCAACGTCTCGCGCAGCGTCAGCCACCTAGACACAATCATTGAGGACTTGTTGGATATGTATCTGGACTTTATACCTAGATCTAGTTAATCTATATGCAAGATGGCCACATTATCGGTGCGCCCATTATCTATATGCGTAGTCAGTACACAATACCAGCCCACTGATGAAGTACACACGAAAGCTGACTCTTTATGTTTTCTATTTATTTGCCTGTAATGTAGTTCGAGTAAACTACCGGTTCTTAACGTACGTATATGCCAGCCGGTGCGTCCGGAACGTTTGGTTCCATCCGAGGACATTCCGGAAAGTCATATTCCGGCCGATTGTCCGACTGGAGCTTTCCCCAGCTCAAGCGTCTCATCAGACATCATATTTGAGGCCAAAGCAGTCGCTATCTTCATCAGACACCTCTCTCTCCGAACTATACATATTCATTTCTTGAAACGACGTCCCAAACGATGGGTAAACGCATTGTGGTCACGGGTGGCTCGGGAAAGGCTGGGCAACACATCATCCAATACCTCCTCGAGCACGGCCACGACATCCTGAATCTGGACCTAGTCCCACCACCAGCCAACCTCGCAGACCGCGTCGACACTCTGCGTGTCGATCTAACCGATGCCGGGCAAGTCTACAGCGCCCTCGGGTCCCATTTCCGGCTCTCAGAGCCCTTCCGCGAACCGCTCGGGCTGGTACCCGACGCAGTGATCCATCTAGCCGGCTATGCCCGCAACATGATTGTTCCCGACAACGAGACGTTCCGGGCCAACACGCAGGCGACATACAATGTCATCGAAGCGGCGAGCCGCTTGAACATCAAGAAGATCGTCCTCGCGAGCTCCGTGACCGTCTACGGGGTGACCTACGCCGAGGGCGACGTGGACTACCCCTCTTTCCCGGTGGACGAGGACGTCGACGCCAACCCGATGGACACGTACGCCATCTCTAAGGTCTGCGTCGAGCGTGTGGCGCGCGGCTTCGCACGGCGGTACGGGAGTGATATCTACGTGCTGCGGATTGGGAGGGTGATCGCGCCGGACGAGTACAAGGGCCCCATCGTCAGGGGGTATGTTGATCATCCTGAGGAGTGGAAGGCGCATGGCTGGTCGTATACGGACGCGCGGGACCTGGGTCAGATGTGCGAGCGGGCCGTGCTGAAGGACGGCCTCGGGTTCCAGATTTTCAACGCTGTCAATGATGAGATCACGAATTATACGCCTTCCACTGCTGAGTTTTTGGCTCGCGTGTGTCCGAATGTTCCTGTCACTCGGGAGATGGGACCGCGTGAAGCCCCTATCAGCAATAGGAAGATTAGGGAGCTGTTGGGTTTTCGTCAGGATCACCCCTGGCAAAAGTACTATGAAGAATAGATTCTAATCTTGGGGGATAGGACAGTCTATGTCTATACTATACTGGCTTGTAGCGTAGAATGACTATGGGTAAGGAAGCGTTTTTCCTGGAGTGAACTGCTATGAACGAACTGGTTACCATATTGATATGATGTTCTCTCATGGTAGGTGGGTAAATCGAAAATATAAGGGTACCACCCAAGTTATAGTGCTGGTTGGATAATGATTGCATAACAACGAGGTACGGTTGTTGCCTTCCTCACGAGTCAAACTACGGGATCGATCTATCAATTGCCCTTTCTTTCCTGCACTTCATTCTCCGTTTCCATCAACCCACAGCCACCACCTTTGGCGCTACTACCATTTCATCGTCAAGAACAACCTTATCTATCTTCGTCTGCGCGGTACCTTTATCTTCATGGCGGCTCCAACTTTGACATTTTCTCTGTCCGCTCTCACCGAAGAAAAGACAGACGACCTGCTATACAGACTTCACGTCCTCCTCTTCGATCTTAAACACTTCAACCAACGAGAGGACTCTAGGGGGCTTCTCGATACGGTTGCGGATGTCTCCTACATTGGACCGCCGTATTTCACCGAAAAGGAGGCAGAGAGTATCAAGAAAACGACAAAAGGAACAAAGACACTGTCTGAAATGGTGGAAGAGGAACTTCGCCAACGATTGGAGAGGCGAAACAAGAAACGCGTTGAGAGTGAGGATTGTCGAGTTTGCGCCGCACACGATCTCGCTCCTATATTCGCGAGAGCTCTCGATATTGACTTGAAACAGCTTGAAAGGGATAAGCGGTTCCTACATCTTGTCAACACAAGAGGATTGAACTTGGACGGAGAAAGTTGGGATGGGCTGGTGGTCAAATCTTTTGCCCAAAACATAAGAAACAGGCAGGGAAAAGATGAGAAAGCAAGCAGCCATACGACTTTGCAGCCAGCAGGGACACACTTTACATGACGGCTTCCCCCGAGCCCTCCACACAGCTGTGCTGACTCTCATGGCATTGCTTATGGCTTGTGGAGTTCAGCGATCACTGCGGTGCAGTAGGGGTAATGGCCATCTAAAGTAGACTCTATGACTTTCTGCTTCCAGTGACTGCATCTTACCACACGGAAGGGTCCCTGAACAGAGTAAACTGAAATCACGTATCGTATATCATGTGCTGCGGTAGTAACTTAGAAAGAATGAAAAGAGCCAGCTTGCTGTTCCAAGTACATCTTCGAGGTGTTTTGTGTCCTGAGAAATAGGTAGGGCCTTTCCCACCTATGTCCTGTTTATCCCAAACCCTCGTCCCGCACCTTGATATCCCTTAATGCACATGCACAATCTTCCTCAATCTCTTCTTCAGACATTGCCACCAGGAGATTATGTATCTGAATTCAGCACCCCACAAATGACCTTGCTCCCAATCGCCTTTTTTACTTCTGGATCTCCTCGATGTGAACGTTCCATCAGTCTCGCATCGTTCCGAGCCCACAAAACCACTGAACTGTATAACCCGTCATTCATTGTGAGATAATGCTCATACGAACGCAATCAATATACATATCTCCAGCCCCGTTCTCCCTCGCCTTCAACATACCCCTCCGCCGCATCAAGCCTCTTGTTCAGCAGCATCGCCCGCCATTTCACAAGACTAGCCGCTACAACAGTGATGAGAGATCCAACCAAGATCAGTCCCCCACCAAGCCGATAAAACGGCTCCTGGGACGTAGGAAAGAAATACGGACTGAACCAGTGACTCGACTGACTGATGCAGTTGGCGATCGCAATCAGCGCCGCTTTCTTGCTGCGCGGGGCTGGCACAAGAGTCGTTTCCCAGGAGAGCTGCAAATTAAGTCCCGAGTACGTCCCTGAGCATAGGAGGATGACGCCAAAGTACCGCGCCCCGACGTTGAGAGTAGAAATCAAGATGCTGCATCCTGCGGCGGCAATGATGATCGGGATGACGATGTGGTAGAACGATTCTTGGAATTTTCCGGAAGAGTAGGCGATGGCGCAGGCTGATAGGTAAGCGATGGCGTACGGAGGGGCCTGCACGAGGTAGGTTGTCATCTCGTCAAAGTCGAATGTTTTCATTATCTATGGCCACCGTTAGCTTCGGCATTGAAGCTAGAGAGGGAACACTCACAGAAGGCAGGAAGTCCTTGAAGCTCTGGGCAGTGACGAGGGCAAAGTGCATGAGGCAGAAGAGCCACGTAAATGGGTCTCTAGCCGCTGCTTTCAGTCCATCCCATGTTCCGCCGTTGGCTTCCTCGATGCCGCCGTTGGACAACAGAACCCGATACTGTGCCATTTCTTTCTCAGACTCGGACAGGAAACGAGTATTGTGGGGCCAGTCGGGGAGAAGGAAGTAGCCAGAGAAAGCCACGGCAATCGAAACAGCCCCCTCGATAATGAAGAACCATTGCCATGCGTGGAGGCCGCGGACATTATCCATGTTTGTCAGGATACCGGCAGCAAGGAATCCGGAGATGATGTTGGATATCGTATTCCCTGCATGCCAGATGGCCATTCGCATTGGGTTCTCCTCTTTTGTATACCAAGAGGACGTCACTAGGCGCGTTGTTAGTCTCAGGCATCGGGGTTTTCTAGGAAGAAGGCCCAACATACTCAAGGCGATACCCGGAAAAAAGGGTGCCTCCGCAAGGCCGATGAAGAACCGACACACGGCGAAACCAGCTCCCCTGACGACGGATTAGCAGGTAGAATCCATTTAGAATGACTGAACGTACGAAGTCATGGCTGGCATGCAGATGGTACCAACACTCCATGCCAACATGATGGACGGCAGCAGCCAGCGAGGATTGGCCTTTGCCAACCACAGATTGCCGGGCAACTGACCAATGAGGTATCCAATGTAGAAGGTAGATATTCCTGTATTCCAAACAGTGTCGGTCATGTTTAGGTCTTTCTGGAGCCCAGCCAAACGGGCATTTGAGACATTAATGCGATCGAGGTAGCTAAGTGGTGTATGTTAGGGCACACGCTCAGATCAGTGAAGGGAGACATACTTCATAAGAAACATCAAAGTTATGCAAGGCATCATTCTCCAGTCAATGATCTTGACCACCCTCCGATTGAGAGCCTGCATCTCATCCTCTGATAGATCCCGCAGTGTGGGAAACATAGCCTGCAACTGCGCCGGCGTGAGGGCCCCCGACTGGGCGACATCCTCCTTGTGGTCGACTTCGACTTTTTCACCCGACATTGTCGCTTCTATACACTTGGATGGTGAGGGATACTAACAGAAGAAACTTATGGCGATGCCATGGTTTGTTTGCGGACATGCCGTCTTATAGCTTTGCTGTGGATTGTGTGGCCAGGGACTGGACCGACATCTCGATATCAGAATTGCCTCGACATCTACCCCAGACCCCGCATTTGTGGGGAAACCCGTCGCATATTGGAGTGACCAAGGAATACCAAGACTTCCAAGAGACATTTACAAACGAGAATTCGAAAAGTGATTTGTCTGTTGAGTTAGACAGTCGGGACGATAACGGGACATCACGTCCCGCGGTACATCGCATAGAGATCAAGGAATTATGGTGGGAATAGCAGGACAGCATGAGCAAGGGCTCTGTCTATACAGACGTTGGAACAGTTCGTACCCACTATACTACCTACATTCTCGGGGATTTTCTAGATCAATGTGGAGTGCTCTGGAGATAATGCATACAGTGGGTATGTCCCCAGTCTATTGCAGTATGCGATCTACTGGGACTTCGAAGTAGATCTACAGGACCCATCGTATGCAGAATCCACAATACCCCCATCTATAGCAATCCCAAGACTGAATGACATTTCTCTAGATGTTGGCCATCATTTACACATCCGCGGCTCCTTGTCACTCCGCGGAACTTGTCAACAAACGCTCAAAGGATTTCAACAGGGTCTAATCGATCCTTCGTGGTTAAATAAGAATTCTTGGTAGCTTGACGGGTTCTTATGCTCCGTCGGAGGGGCCTTGCCACCCAAGCCCTTAGAGCCGGATGTTGATAGTCCGCTGAGATGCTCGGCAGAGGCTTGAGACCCGGATTACCACAAGGGGAAAGATTTTGAGCCCTTAGCTTGATCTGGGAGCTCGAGTGAAGAGAGGGCAAAAATCGGGACTCCAAATTCATTATTTCCAATCATTCCTCATCTATTCGTCCAAGGTGATGGTGTGGTACAGAGAAGTAGACGCAAGGACTTTAAAGAACTATAGACCGCCCAGGTAGCTGGGCTAATGTGTAATGTCGTCCTGTCTCGCCTTTTATGAGTCCCATGTGTTACTGACCTACACCTACATGTCGCCGCTCCGAATTGCTGCGATTGTAAGGACTGCTAGTTCCTGTCAGTTTGCGCTTACATGCACGATCCTTGCATGCACGCAGTCGCGAGGATATCTTGGTTACCGATGGCTTCATTATGTCTTAAGCCATGACACATGGATACCCTCGACAAAAAAGACGCGCGGATGTATCTGATCCGTGGATTGGAGCAGTCTGTCACTAGCAAGACCGAAGGAACTTGGCAATGCGTCCGGCCGATCGTATCAACCTGGTTTGGGCCACAATTCGAGACATTTCTAAACCCCGAGTTTAATGTTTACAATTATGAATAACAAAATTGGTCTCGAATGGAATGCAATTTTCTTAAGATATTCTGAAACCGCATATTGTGTAGCCCGAGCACGCAGTCTGCATGTGTTACGCACCTATTACAAGCACTGAGAGTACCACTCATTCTGCTTCTGGCAAGTGTACGGCGATGCACACGCGGTAGGCCCAGTCCATCCTTGTCCTCCACACTGGCCCCAGTGGGTCTGGGTGGCACCCCCTGCGGAGGTGGTAGTGGTGATTTTCGTAGTGGTAGTGGTGGAGGTGGTCTTGGTTGTGGTCGTAGTAGAGCTGGAACTAGAACCAGAGCCGCCCGGGTTGGTATAGGTGGATCCGATATCGCCCCAGCGGATGTTCGAAAACACCACATGAGTATCCGGATGGGCGGATTGAATCAATGACGGATTTCCCTCCGTGCTACTGCAGGGTCCGGCGCTGCCGCTATCCAGCCAGTTCATGAAGCCGCCTGCGTCGTTCCAGATGCTAAAAATCAGAACCATTCCCCGGCCGAGGGCCTCACCCATTCTCTTCAGACCACCGTAGGTAGCAGCAGCGCCGTCAACAGATTCGCACCATGGCTCGGTGATGGAGTCGACACCTGCAGACGACTTCGCATTGGCGATGATCTTACCATTTTGGATGTATTGACGGCGGATCTCTTTCAGAGTCCCAGTTTTGGTACCGTCGTCGGTGATAAACTGCGTGGTGATAGTGAACGGCTTGGACGTGTCGACCGTACCGCCTGGGCCCCAGTAGTTTTGCTGGCCGAGAGCGTAGGGATTGAACCCACACCCGCCTTTATCGCAATCATTGCCGTTGCAGGGGTGAGGGGTGAAGGAGTTTGCACGGGAGTTGGCTTCGAGGATATCCATTTCGTTGCAGCCAAAACCCTGGCCACTGGTGTTGAGAGTGCCGTTTCTCCATGCCATGACTGGCGACTGTGCGTCGCAGTAACCAGAACCATACTAAGAGTTCGTCAGCATACACGGTATTGTCTACGGAAATGCTCAGAATCTCAATACCTGGGCGCCTCCTGTGTTGTATTCGTTTCTTCCACCGGTGGCGCTCATCTCTGACAGATACAAAGCACCGTTCTCGCCACACGGAAGCGTTGACAGATCCACATTGAAACTAAGTTCCTGGCCGAGGAGCTTCAGCATGACATAGTTGCCGTCTGAGCCCAGGAGATAGAGACGCGGTGATGCATTAGTGATGACCCCGTTGTTTTGGTAGTATTGGTGCATCGTCAAAGTGTCTCCCGAGGTGGCGACGCCAGCTGTTGCGTAGTTCGCCGGATCGATCACGCAGTTCTTAGCACAGGTAGCTTCATCGGGGCAGAGGGCCGAGTTGACACCGGAGGAGGTGGTGCAGGATTGAGAATTGCTGGTGTGTATCCAGTGGAAACCCCAATCTAGAACGACTGATGTATCCTGTTGCAAACAACCCCCTCCAGTAGTGCATTTCCACGTTGTCAAGGAAGGGTTTCCTGGAGAAGACGAGGAAGGCTGTTGGGCCTGGACAAGTGGGTGGAAGACCAGCCCTGCGGCGATGATGCTTTTTGTAAGAGAATTCATGGCGAGGTCTGGATGCTGTCAGACACAAGAACACGTTTCCAGCATACTTGAGGTAAAGACAGTATTTATAACTCGGACTTGGGGTCGTAATCCGGCTTCACAGAGTTATTCCGTAAAGTAGTCCCTTTTCCTTTGGGACACGGAGCAACAATGGCCTCGTGTTCGTCAAGCAAAGCTTGGACGAACAAGCTCGTACGGGCCGCCGATCCGGATATAGATTGCACGAGTCTCTTCTGGACCTTCGAGATGGCCGTACCCCGCATGTTATCCTGGTTCCGATCTCTTCATGCAGGGCTCAATGTGCCCCTGGTCAAGTGCCGCTACCGGGAGTCAACTCGGAGGACCTTCCTCTTTCATTCGGGGCTTGTCTTTTCTGCGCTGGGCGTAAGGTGGCGTGCATGATTGTTTCAGGCTGCGGGCTAAATTGATTAGTCCAGGCATCCGAGTTCTCTTCATGGAGGAGAGTAGGGGAAAACATGCGAGGAGTTCAGAGACGCTAAGCTGAGATAGACCCGCCGGCAAATTTCGGCTATTGTATCTTTTCATTTTACCTTACATATGGGCTTTGAAGGGCTGTATCCGCCACCCTGCCATTTTATCACCCCGTCGGGCTTGGCCAGGCATGTGTGCCTCTGCAGGCTGTACGAGACTACGAGAGTACGAGATTACCTCCAAACTGATTGCACGGACAAAACCAGAACGGGATTCGCCCTACTTAAAGAACGACTCTATTCGTGAGCCAAATAGAACAGAAAATACCAAACTCATCACTATGGAACATATATTAAAACACAACGAGGCATCAATTGGATGGACAAGATATAGATTCAGCCATGCTTGAGCTCACGGAATATCCGGGTAGATCGTATCCCCCTCTTCGGGCCGCTCTTGGATAAAGCCCGGAGGGGGGTCCGCGGGGAGCTGATGGTCATGAGCCCACTGACGAATCGCATCAAAATTCCGACATTTGTGCCGAGTGTTGAAATCAACAAAAGGCTTGGGGTCGTCCGGCCACACCCAAATCTGTCCCAGGACACCAACATCCACGGTACACATGAGCTGTTGGCGGAGGATATCAAGACAGTGTGCTGGTGATGCCGTCAGCCATGAGCGTTGTAGAAGAGCGGTAGCCACTTACAAACATGCTTCCGAACGATATAGTCTTCGTTGACAAAGGCACCCTCCCCCTTCGCGTGATAATAGTCGTAATTGTAGTATAGTGATTTGCGGAGCAGATTCTGAGATGTCTCTATTATTATGTGCACCAGAAGAATGGACGAGCTGCTTACCAAACAATGTAGATGATGGAGCCCCTCAAGATTGGCGATATATCCTCCCCCATACTTGTCGTTGATCTTCACCTGATCGTGGGCGATCCCGGCCTCCTCCGCAGCTTCGGGTGGAACTCTTAGAGGTCGATCTAGGATGATTAGCATTAGTCGGGTGTGTAAGCCCGTCCATGCTTACAGTCAACTCCTAGCGCCTCCCAAGCATCATCCACCTCTTGACTGGCGTTCTGTCTGTAGATGTTCTCGGTGAGAAATTCACCGTTGAATTGCTCAACATGATATGTAACATCCATATCGCGCATCAGAGGTGCTGTGTCTGCATTAGTACTGACTCGTTCAAGTAGGTCTTCATGACGCTTACCCTTTTGCGAAACATGTTCAAGACATCGTTTATTCACATCGAAGTCTTGCCAATGATAGCCACCCGCGATGCCAGCGAGAAATATCAGTCCAACGCCGACGGGATAGAGAATAATTTTCCACCATCCTGACGACTTTCGTCGCTGAACCTTTTCACTTGGTTCCCAGAAGCCCGACTCTTCTTCGGAGAGAAGCCGTGCGTTTTGCTCTCCGTCTGATGCCATTGTGTGGGTGGGAATTCGTCTACAGTGGAATTAAGTGTTTCTGCCAGTGCGTGAGGAATGTCGACCGTCGACATGTACGAAATAAAAGAGCTCCGACCGAATAGAACTGTTCTATCTTTGGCAAAGACTATGGGATGCTTTAGATCAACGGCTACGTCATGACTTGATGCATGCCGACGGATAAAGCCGAATCCCCACAGAGCGATAACTCTAAACGGTTACACAACCGCGATAAGGTTTCTGTTGATCACCAAGACTAGAATGTACAGATAATACAAATAAAGACATTGTTGATCAACTCCATCTTGACCATGGATGTCATCTCCGCGTCGCCCCGAACACGAACCAGACTCTCCGCATTTGGAAAGTGGTCTTATAGATCGCATGACAGTCATGACGGTGTACTGAATCAAACCGTGGCGAGATGCTGACCATGAGGTTTTTTCTCGCAGTCACCTACGCCAAAGGGAATTCTTACCAAGGACACAACCTGCATGGTTATTTATATCGTCATGTTCACATCTGCTCAATGGTCAATGGGGCGCGATCTTGGCCCACATCGTGTGGAAATCAAAACCCGCACAGCACAAGTATACCGATCATCATGATGCAGTGAGCTATTCAAAGCACTGTCGAAGGATGATATCCTGTGGCCCATAATATTTATAGGACCGGAAGGATCCCACTCTGGAGAGAAGATAAACACCGCCAGAACAACAAGTCCTTCTTATCAATACGTCTGAATCATCCTCCATCATGCGCTTCTTCGCCGGATGCATCATCGCTTCCCTCGTTCTCTCTTCCGCAGCCCTCCCTACGGAGGAAAAGAGAGACCCTGAAGCCGATTCGGGAGTAGCTAGCTACCCTCATTACGCTCCGTACAAGGATTACGGCAAATACAAGAGAGATGCCTCGCCCGAGGAGTATGAGAGCTATGATCCTTACTCCTCCTACAACCCTTACGGATACGCTCCCTATGACGGCTACGGAGAGTACAAGAGAGACGCAGCTCCAGACGGCTACGGCCAGTACGCCCCTTACAAGGACTACGGCAAGTACGGTCCATACAAGGACTACAGCAAATACAAGAGAGAGGCGTCCCCTGAAGAGTATGAGAGTTACGACCCTTACTCTTCTTACAACCCCTATGGATATGCACCTTACGAGGGCTACGGGGATTACAAGAGAGAACCCGAGGCATCCCCAGACCAGTGATGGAATGATTGAAGGTACTTTTGGGATGTCCATGATCTCGGTGGATTGTAGCCAAGGGAGGCTGCAGGAAAGCCTGTCGTGACAACCATACCGATTCTTATTACTTCACTATTTTGCTGCTACTTTGACATTCCTTCAAGTTGCACTAGTCCATGTCGATCATTAATAATGGGAAGATTTTCCGGGTGTGGCCAGGCTCAAAATCTCTTTTTGTCCCAGGAGAGCTATTTTGTACACACACTGGAATTGAACACATATGATGATTAAATCACCCTCATTTCCTTGTCCAACTCAATGGCAATCTTGTATAACGGCTCCTATATATAGCGCGCACGAGTTGCAATCAACAAACCTATGAATTGAACCATTTTGCGTTATATAGTCAGCACACGATCCCCTAATCATGTATTACCACGAAACATTTCCCCCCAGAACTTCTCCACAAAGTGCCCAATATCCGGATTCACATGGTTCAACGCGACAAAACGGTACAGGATCTTCTTATAAAAGTGCCGCGGCCGTCATCGGATCGTCTCCGCATTAACGGCAAAAAAAGCCCCCTCCGCAAACATGACACTCTTCGGGTGCTCGTAACTAAAGATCTCGCGCCTCAGCTCGGCCGGGGTACAGTCCGCCTTCAAAAACCGGCCTGGCTCCTGCTGGCTTAATCAAAGCACATTAACCGGGTCAGTGTCCCAGTCGAACCCATCCCATTGATCGAAAGACCGATATGTGCCTTCGGCCTCGGAGCTGAATATGGTCATGCCGAGACCGGGAATGCTACTGCTACCGCTGTCGTCATAGCCTAGTTCTTTGAGGGCCTTGGTGCTCATCTGTGTGATGGTCATTTTCGAAAGATTTGCGTCTGTCGGCAGAGGGAAGACTTTCCTAGCCCATAAAGGTGTCGTATCCTGTTGGTCGTCTTATTTTGCATCTCTGTCCAAGAAAGAATTTCCCGACAGTCAACATGTTGAATTCAGGGAAGGTGTGTCGGCAGCCTCACTTGAGGCTATACTAGAATTTGCATCCATGTCACTAATCGAGAGTCACGACAGACGAGCAAATTACCAGACTGAGATATCTACAAATTGCGGCTGATTATTTCAGAGCTAATTGCGTATAACAGGAGGTTGAAGACTGTCTGAAAACAATGGATCAGGAAATGACAATAGATTGCATTCAGTCCCTTGGTGGGTGAGCCGATATTTAGTTGTTACGACACACGATAAATTAAGCTCATCTTGCACCACCATTCCATCAGGCCATATCGCGTTCGATAACCACCTGCACTCTTCATTGCACTGCCCGATTCCGCACTACCACGTGAACAGAGCGGACAGAGTAGCCGGGTGTCAATCTAAATCCTGCTAAACTGCGAACACACTAATGGGACCCTATATGATGGGTAGTGGTAGGTGATGGGGGAATAAACAAATAGAGGAATTCAAGACACTCTGGATAGACCTTTATTTTATTGCCAGCCAATTTTTTATCTAGCTGTAGCAATGCTACCAGTTAATTTATCTTCAGAATCTTCTTTCATAACTTTGTATAACATTACTAGACGCATTTATCGTAGTCTCCTTATTATACAATCTGATAAGTCATGCAAATTATCGCAGAAATCCCATGAACAAACCCCGACATGCCCATAAGTCCGCCTTGTTGCACAAACCAGTGCTCCCTAACATTATTGACCACCTTAACAGCCCTACCCATATTATCTTTAAGCATATATAAGCCTCGGATGGCGATGGAGCGAATATGAACCTAATAGTCGGAGGTGCTAGCCGTTGTCTTAGCTGGTCGGGGGGGCACCTGTCTAGACAAGAGCATTAATGTCGACCTGTGCTTAATATTAACACCGGGTCTCGGTTGCTACCTTCCGCTACGCCACTGTAGAACGTTCCATGGGCGACTGCTCCACAGACGCACTCGTTGTACCGGATCTGCAGAAGCGATTTCGGTGCTACGCAGCTGTAATCCCCAACCGTACTCTGCAACGGCTGAACAGATAGGACCAGAAGTCCGAGGTAGATTAACCGTCACGGTCTGATATGATAACCTCCGGTAATCCCCACTGTGGCCACACGTGTTTGAAGTATTAGGAGAACAAGCCATGTTGGCGATTTCCACTGGACTTTTCTTTGCGGGTTTTGTTCGATCGATTCTAGGAGCGCCTCCAAGGTCGTACCGTATACTAATCCATGCCGAAGGGCATGGATAACCAAAAGTTTTATGCACTGTTCTTCTGATTCGGTAGAGGGTCAGAAAAAGGACATGGTTAGCGTTTATTATGTCTCTGATCAGACTGTAAGTAAATTAACTAGGACTGGTGTAAGGTAGAGAGTTACTTACTTCGAGCCTTTCAAGTATTTTTAGGATAATACAGGCCCTCAGACTCTGGATCGATATAGGCTTTGATCGCCGTAGTGTCAGCTCAATATCCTCCCAGTGGAGGAATTCGTCGGCGGTATAGCCGTCTGATCGTGCAACGTCCCCCGCCCTCGCCGCTAACGCGGATTGAAGGGCAGCTCCCAGCATTATACTGATCGTTGGATCCCAGGGTAGCGTGCTATATCCTAGGCCATGGATAAAGTACCCCTCTGCCAGGCATTGGCCGGGTATTCCTCGTCAGTAATTTGGTCTGAACTGTTGAAGTTATCCATTGTGCGCAAGGAAAGGAAAGAGAAAACGACACTGATAGAAGAAGCCGCACGGTAAGGCAGGGGGAGGAAAGGAAAAGCGAGACAACCTGCGGAAGAAGGCCGTACTGGATCCTTATAAGGACCATGAAGCAAGATACTGGATTCACAGAATGTAGTGAGCGGCTGGTTTCGTCAATGATGGTAAGTGATTGTGGGGTGAGGAGAGATGAATAGAGGGAGAGGTGAAAGGTTGAATTAGAATTAGGGGATCCTTCAATATTTGGCATATTTTCCCTTCACCTGCGAAAAACGAGGCTGGTCTGGCTCTGTATATACTTGTGGTGATGTTCATTACTGTAGTACGATTTCGACTCCTACTTTCCGAATGAGAGAGAGATCTATGCCCTTGGCTATGGACGTCAACGTAAGGTTCAACAATCCTAGATATTTCTGGCACACGGTGAGATTCAAGTCTGTTTTAAGCATAACGCAGCCGTCCTAGAATGGACAGATAAGTGGTTCCATGTAGACACGCGACAACGGGATGGGCCGGATGTGGGGTGATGGTGGTGGTGAGATCATACCACCCCTTCGATACCTATAATTCCACTCCTCCCAGGAACAAGCACACTCCAAACTTCATTTTATGGAACAGTGTCACGATGTCAGCACTCTCAACCCCCTCAGCATTACTACAATCCACTCCAGCTATAGTCGTAGGCTCGGGACTAGCTGGATTGTCTGCAGCGTCCCAACTCCTCTTCCACCATGTCCCGGTCATCATGCTGGACAGGGCGCCAAAGCCCGGCGGCAACAGTATGAAAGCATCATCCGGAATCAATGGCGCACCGACTCGATTCCAACCAATCGACAACGACCAGGAGTTCTTCAACGACACCATCAAATCAGCCGGGACCCCGTTCACGACATCTACATCTACCGAGCGCCATCGGCGCGAGCAACTCATCACCACGCTCACACAGTCCTCCCCAGACGCCGTCTACTGGCTCACCGACGAAAAGGGGATCGACCTGAGCAAAGTGACCCAATTAGGCGGCCACAGCCATCCCAGAACCCATCGCGGGGCAGGCAAACGCCCCCCGGGCAACGCCATCATCACCACTCTGCTCGACTCCCTCAACGGGAACCCATTGTTCGAGCTGCGGACAAACTCCAAAGTGACAAGAGTCCTCCGCGAAGCGGACGAAGTCCTCGGAGTCGAATATGCGGAAGAAAGCGCCGGCGTCAAAACCCTCCATGGCCCTGTCGTATTCGCGACGGGCGGTTTCGCCGGCGACGCACACGGCATGCTGTCCAAGTACCGCCCGGATCTTGCGGGCTTGCCGTCGACGAACGAGTTGCGCGAGGGCTCGCAGCCGCTGCTCGAGCAGGTGGGTGCGGCGCTGATCGACATGGAACAAGTCCAGGTCCATCCGACGGGGTTTGTGGACCCGAAGGAGCCATCTGCTGGTGTTAAGTTTCTGGCCGCGGAAGCTCTCCGTGGCGAAGGTGGTATTTTGCTGCTGGGTGATGGGAGGCGGTTTGTCAACGAGCTGGAGACCCGCGAACATGTCACGAATGCCGTCATGAGTGCTGCTACCAGCCTGGATACGCACGCGCGACAGTGGGATCTCTCGTTAGTTCTGGACGAGGGCGCTGCATCGGCGCTGGCCTCGCACATTGAGTTCTACGTATGGAAGGGTTTGATGCGCAAGACGACCGTTAGCGAACTGGGCCAGGTGGCCGCCCAAACCATCCAGGACTACGCGGATGTTGTTGCTGGACGGAAGAGCGATGCTTTTGGACGCAAGGCGTTTGGGAACTGGACCTTGACTGATGTCAAGCCAGACTCGATTATATACCTCGGGAAAGTCACGCCGGTCACGCATTTCACTATGGGAGGTGCGATCTTCAACGAACATAGTCAGGTTTTGGATAAGAACGGAGCGCCGATTCGAGGTCTCTGGGCTGCGGGCGAGGTCACCGGCGGACTCCATGGACAGAATCGGCTGGGTGGCTCGTCGTTGCTGGAATGCGTGGTGTTTGGTAGGATTGCAGGGGATGGAGCAGCGGCGTTTTATAAGCAGCATTATGCAAGTTCATCTTGAAGCATTGCATTGGCTATATCAGAGTTCCTGTCTACTTACTTCAATCTAGACAAGTTGGATTAGTATTATCACTGAATGTTTATTGATAGGGTTCTATTAACCTGTAGTATCCTGTATACACTGCGCTTAACGCTGATATTCCGTGCTCGTCTCCCATATTGACAGGTCACACGAACAATGCGAGACCGAAAGAAGTACAGGATGGGTGGGTGTCAGAAGGGGCGAACGAAGGACATAATCGAACCCCGTAAAAGTAAGTGCTATACAAATGCCCGAACAACTCATGCTCTAGTACACGCTCATACCGCTTCCCAATCCATCGCATCAACAATAAAGTCCCAGTCGATCTCCGACTCGGCCACCCGACTCTGGCTGCTGCGAGACATATCCGTCTGGGCCGCATGCGTCTCAGCGAGCTGATATCCGTCCTCCAGCGCATCAAAGATATCCGCCAGGATTTTCTCAAGATCATAACTCTCCAGCCCCGACACACGGTCATTCCGCGCGAAGCCGAACTCATCGCGATTAATATCCTCCTGGGACAAATCCGCAGTCTTCCAGCGGTTCCGCAGCTCCTTCGCTCTCCTCAACTGTCTGAGCCGATCCCCAGTTTTAAAAACACCCCGAAGGGGACTCGATCGCGCCTCGAGAGCTTCTATGACATTCGCGTGGTATCGATGCAGCCCCATCCCGTGCGCATTCTTCGGCGCGGCGGACACGGCGATCCCAAACACGCCCAGCAGATGCACCAGGGCGCGCTCCAGCAGCGCGTAGTATTCATGGAAGTCGAGCTTAAACATGATCTCGGCGTGCGCCACAACCTCTGCCGGAGCTTCGCGTTGCGTCGCCAGGCGGTATCCCTCCGCCAGGAACGGGAGTTTCCACTTTAACCGCGCCACGATTTTTCTCAGCCGCGAGAGTTCTTCAGAGGGGGAGAGGAGGCCCAGGCGCGTCGACGACGACCCCGACGATGGGGTTTCTGCACCGCCAGAACGGGGTGCCCAGCGGGATTCTAATAAACTGGACATAAGTAATATGTTGTGTGGTAGTGTATACGGAGCGTGGCTCGCGTGTTAGGCGCCTCCGCCACTTGAGCTCAGCCACATTGTGGCGCTCGCTCTTTCTTAGTTTGTGCCAGCAAAAGTACTGTGCATTCGATTGTTTGTGTGGGAATCTTGTGGATTATTTACTTGGCTTATATGTACCTATACGGTCGTACACTTCTTCCTCATGATCCAAAATCAAACCACCCCCCAAAGACCCTCCTTGGTGGTCAACTTAGCTGCAAATGCAATGAGGCCGCCAAACACCCCCATCGCACCGCTGAACATGCAGCATTCGAAATAACCTCCATACCGAGCGAGGATGGCGCCATTGATAGGGGGACCGACTAGAGCTCCCAACCCCGAAATGGCCATGCCCATTCCCATGTACGTGCCAATGTCTTGTGGGTTGTCCGGGCAGCTGGAGAAGGTAGCTGAGGCACCTGAGACAATTGCGCCAGAACAGAACCCAAAGAAGATGGCATAGACGATCAAGCCAGCATTATTGGTGGCGCTGGTCATACAGAAGACCAGAATACCTGTGGCCACGCCGCCAATGGCAAAGGTGTTCAGGCGACCATACTTATCCGCCAGCGCTCCTGGCACAATCCGGCCGAAGGTTGAGGCGGCATTCACCAGGGCCAGCAGGTACCCAGCTAGCGTCGCGCTCATGCCTTTGGTGGTGGCATAGGTGGTAAGGTAGAACATGGGGGTGAACATGCCTATAAACATGAAGAAGAGTGCCGTGAAAAGCAGGATGAATCGTGGCTGCTTATAGGGGGCCAGGAGGAAGAAATGGGTTTTCCGAGGTGGGACGCGGGACTTGATAGCAACACAGGAAAGGCCCATAAATGGCAGCATGACAAAGGCGACCACGCGGACTGTCCAGCCAAAGCCCAGAGAGGAGCCATTAAACCCCTTGGATAGGATAATAGGCATGATGACTCCCCCAATTGAGGACCCGGCCACCGCAAGGCCCAGGGCTCCAGCCCGCTTCTTGTCAAAGTATTGCGACACTGCAGCAAAGGCCGGAATCTGCAGAAAGCCCATGACCAGACCCATCAGCACCCCCTGCACAAGCATGGCTTCCCAATAATTTTTGCACAGACTCAGCATCATCAGGGCGAAGATGTAGGCAATGGCAGAGGGCCTGAAGACCTATGTATTTCCCCATTTGGTCAGCGCGATCACTGGTCCATTTAGGGGGAGAAGCAGACGTACCTGGGCACCAAAGCGATCAAAGAGGGGGCCTCCCAGCATTCCTGAAAAGAACTGTAGGAAGGATTGCAGGGAGCCAATCCATGAGATGGCAGACGCTGTGTTGCCTTTCAATTGATGGGTCAGGTAGTATTCTTCAAACGTACCAAAAGAGTTGGCAAGACCAAGTGTGCAGAAGAAGACTGATGCCGCTCCCGCTGCCACCAGCCAGGCACGCACACCTCCATCCGGGGCTGGATCAGCTCCTGTTACGTTGGGAGGTTCTTTCTCCGAGGTGATATGATGGCCAGGCTCCTGGTCCGCGAGGATGATCCGCACCTCCGATCTGTCGAGCGAGGCAGGCGTTTGTTCAGAGACTGTCGAGAGCATGGTGTGTGACTGGATGCGTGTGCTTCTGGATGAAAGGAAAGAGGCGAGATGGCAATCGCTTTATTTAAGAACTTGAAGTACTCCATACCGCTCTACTCTGTACTAGAGAGTATACTCCGTACTATAGAGTACCCGCCGGACTCGGCGCGGGCTCGGACTCGGACTCGGACTCGGGGACGGCGGATGGTGGCCTTTCCCCGTCATCTCCGAACCAACTATCTCAACATCATCGATCTTTACGGAGTATCGCACCAGTCTCTGAATGGAGTGGTAAACCTTCGGAACGGATTAGGCGATATTGCGGATTAGTTCAGGTTCATCAGCTCGCATCCTTCCATCCCCGCATGATCATCCCATTCTCTGCAAGCTCATCCGAAATGGAGAGGCGCCGACGTCCTGCGGTATCGTGTTTCCTGTGTCGCAAACGGAAGATACGATGCAATCGCGAACAACCCTGCAGCAACTGTCTGCGCGCCCAAGCCGGGTCGTGCGTTTACGAGAACGTTAACCAACCTGTCTCCCTCCAGAACCGTGGTGGGCAGGGAGTCGTCCACCACTCTCAGGGCGTGTCGCCCAGTGCCAGTGCATCCACGCCGACCAGCCAAGTGTCCGCGCCAGACGAGGAGACACGGCTGTTGAGGCTCCGTGTTCGAGAGCTCGAGGAGAAGTTGGCGACAACGAGATTGATGCGATCTCCATCCACTTCGTTGCGTCCATCTCTGGATATCGAAACCACCACTTCCCGTCTGAGTGGAAACTTCCACGTCCACTGCCGAAGACCTGCAGACGGTCGGTCGGAGACCATCGCCCAGAGCGTCAGTATGAAGACGCGATTGCTAGGACAGAGCCACTGGGGAGTCAGTGGGATCTTTGTGGTGAGTTTTCCGAACATAGATATATTCCGGGGATGAACAAGCAGAGGCTGACACGGCCAGATCCGAGACATACTGACCATGCTCGAGCCGCACCTCACTGACGGCACATCCAAAGCATGGACGGGCATGGAAAAGTGTAAAGCGCTGGCCCGATGCATCAAGGCACGGCGCATGCGATCCTTACCCGATCTCCCGGCTTCCCAGTTGCCGCCCCGAGACCTCGCCGACCAGCTTGTTGATGCCTACCTCCGTACCACCGAATCAATTTATCGGATTCTCCATGTCCCCACCTTTCGCAGGCAGTACGACGCACTCTGGCTTGGGGATGGCAAACCAGCAGACGTGGAATTCGACGCTCAGGTTAGGCTCGTGCTGGCCATCGGCGCAGTTACATACGACGACACATTCTCCCTGCGTCTCTCTGCCCTGCAATGGATCCACGAGGCCCAGCTCCTGGTTTCACAACTGAAGTTTAAATCAAAGCTGACACTCCAGTCCCTCCAGAATAACCTCCTTCTGCTCTTCGCGCAAGAGCGGGTGGGTGCAGGAGGGGAGTCAACCTGGATCGCTATAGGCAGCCTGCTCCGGAAAGCAATGTCCATGGGCCTGCACCGTGATCCATGCAATCTTCCCCAACGCACAACCCTCATGGCTGAAATGCATCGCCGACTCTGGAACACCATCCTGGAGCTAAATCTCCAGGCCAGTTTGTCATCTGGTGGGTCGCCATTGATCTTGCCGGGCGATTTTGACACAGCCCCTCCGGGCAATTTCGATGACGAGCAGCTGGAAGTGACCGATCCGGTAGCGACGGCAGGATTCACAAAGACAACCATCTCGATAGCGCTCCGCCGAACGTTTCAGCAGCGACTCGCGGTTGTCAAGTTTCTGAACGATCTGGGCTCACTTGGAACCTACGAGGAGGCTCTTCGTCTGGATGCTGAGCTGCGCACGGTGTACCGAGAACTCATTCACACGCTGCGACCAGGGGGCCAGTCTGGCCCCTCACAATATGAGATGCAGGTGGTGGATTTTCTCATGCACCGGTATCTCCTATCGCTGCACGCCCCATATTTCGGGTCCAGCCTGCACAGCACAAACTTTCTCTATTCCAGGAAGATGGTGGTCGAGTCCTCTTTGCGCCTATGGCTCGCAGCCTGTCCCTCGCCGCCTATCGCCGGGCTGGTCGAGTTTCGGCGATTGGTGACATGCAGTGCGGGCTTTTACCCCACTGTGAGCCTCCATGCGGCCTTTTTGATTGCCGTCGAGCTCCGGATGCAACTACAGGAGGTCGAGGGGTTGTGTCCCGTGCCTTTGCGGCCCGACCTCATGGCCGTGCTTGAGGAGGCCAAAGCGTGGTGCCTGCGGGTGCTGGAGGCGGGAGAGACGAATGTGAAGGGCTATATGCTCACCAGCTTGATAGCAGGCCAGATCCAGGGCTTGATGCGTGGCCTGCGAAAGGACGAGATAGCCAATCTTTTGATCCAAGCGGTGGAAGATGTGGGAGTGACATGCTTGCCGATCTTGGAACGGTTAGCGGCTTCACTGCCAGAACAGGGAGACGAGGGCCCTCCAGACATCAGGGATGATTGGGACTTCATGGTGAGTACCCGGGGATTTGCTGCTCGTCGCTCAAGGATCGTTGCTAATACATGTTCCAAACAACGTCACAGACTGCTTTCAATTTAGGTGACACCGACCAAATAGGTTTGTTGTATGATGACCTTGATTTGGAGATGTATTAGCTGTTTACTCTGGAGTTATGTATCTATTTTGACTTCGATATGCTGCTAAGTGGGCATAATAAATTGCATTCGAGATTAGGAAGCATGGACGCATCATAAGATATTAGACTTTAGAATAATAGAGAGCTAAATAGTAGATATATTTTTTCTACTAATATAGATGAGCTAGGTCGGCTGCTGCTAAAACCGCTATTGAACTAATTTTGTCAAGTATGTATGTAGAGTGAAGATTCATGTTCATCCGGTCTGCTCTGAAATATACATCTAGACTTGCACACTTCGCCTGATACATAGATGATAAAACTATGTACATTAGGGGAGGATCAGAAAACACCTGCTAGACACGGTGGGCTTTGATGCTCAGAGCAGTCATAGAGCCGAACAGAGAGCACACCAGCGAGACAACTAAGTCCGTTAACTAGGAAATATCCATATCCAATCATGGTGAACTTACTGTATGCATGTCTCAGGCCGGCCACATAGCTGTCCACAACTATATCCCGAAGTGATCCAGTAAGGCCGGCGATGTAGTCGATACTCGACAAGGCACGTTGAATGATCTAGATGACTGTTAATATGGATTCCGCCAGAGACTAGCTTCCTTACTTTGTGCGCATCCGGCCCATGCAACCGGGTCTGCAACTGCCTCTTGAATTCCGATCCCAGCACAGTATATGTCGTAGTCACCCCGGCCGTCATAGCAAAGCTGAGAAGGAGGAGATACCCACTGGTAGCCATGGCAATATCCTGCGGCTCCAGGAACGCGGTCATGCTCACAAACGCGGCAGAGGATGCGAGCCCCGTTCCCAACCCCCCAAACACGATGTACATAGATTCCCATGGTCCAGTGTGGCCGTTCCATCGGACGACTTGCAAGACATATGTGATGGAGGCTACCAGCCCAGCGACGACGAGGACTGGCTTGTAGTTCCCGGTGCGTCGAATGAAAACACCCGCCACCAGCCCACCTACGGTGTTCCCTATCACCGCGGGGACCAAATGAGCCCCGGCGATTGTGCTGGAGGCCTTCGCGGTGACCTGAAAATAGAGCGGCACTGAGAACATCATGCCGACCTGAGCCCCGACTTGCAGCGCGCTAATGAGATAGCTGGGGATGATATTCGGACGCCGGAGGATCTGCAGGTCGAAGATTGGCTCTTTCGCGACGAACAGCTCGATATAGACGAACAGTGCAAGAGATACCATTCCCAGGCTAGCTAGAAAAAGCGTGGGCGCAGACACCCAGGGGAATGATTTGCCACCTTGATCGAGAAGGAGAATGATAGTAGTGATGCTCGTGGCGATTGAGAGGGCACCCGGGAAATCCACACGGCGAAGCTTCAATTGATTTCCTGGCGTGTCCAGAGGAGCGTGGTGGACAAGCTTCAGCTGCACGATGACGAGGATTGCAGCGAGGCCGAGAAGAGGGACCTGAAGAAGGAATGCCCTAGTTCAACGAAGTGGTTAGTTGAATGCATTCGATGGAAAGACATTGAGTTGACGTACCATCGCCAGCCTATGGTGTCTGTCAGGACTCCCCCGACTGGGCCTCCAACACTCCGACCAAGGGTCATCGATACATTCACGTAGGCTCGCCATTTGGCAACCTCTCGCTTGGACACAACATCTAGGCAGTCAGCAGGCGCCTCCGACTTTGACAAGTGGATAGTACCGGTGATGATAATCGAACTCATGGTCATGATCCCGCCACCTCCTATACCACTGATGGCTCGTCCCAGAATGACAATCCACAGGTCAGTTGCCAGTCCACTGAGGGCTAGTTAGCTCGAATGAGACTATGCACATACTCCAAGACCTACCACACAAGACAGCCCAGTGCGAGAAAGAGATAGGACACCAGCAAAAGCAGCTTCCGCCCGTAGATGTCACTCAGTTTCCCATACTAGTAGCTGTCAGCAGGCGACCATGCTCATATAAGTCAAGCCAAACTAACCGTAGGCTGAGCCGCACATAACCCGAGGGTATATCCAGTCGACAACCAGGCTGCTCCCTGGAGTTGGTTGAATTCGGAAGTGATAGAGGCAGTGGCGGTCATGATCAGCGTTGCATCGGCATTTGATATGAATTCACCTGGATAGTATTAAGATACTGCGTGATCATGGCACATATGCGACATCTTACCAAGAAGGAGCACGGCGACTATGCTTCCCACACTGGTTAACGCCTCAGAAGATGGCTTGGTTGGAGGGGACTCAGTCGATGCGCCGTTCTCTCCATCTGTGATGGCATGATTATTTGACTGGTTAGTGTCATCTGGATGTATAGTTTGGTATGATGGCGGAGAGCGACGAGGATCATTGTGGCCTGGGTCCAAAGGCGTCGTCTCGTCTGTGTAGGCGATGGCGATCATGGTCTATTATTATTCATGAAATATGAAGATCGCAAAAGAAAGGCGAAAATAGTGGCATGGTAGGTCAGTCGTTTTGTTATCGCGGATGATTTGGAAGCACGCCATTCCTGGTTCTAATGACTCTATCCAATCCTACGCATTTTCATTGCTTTTCGGATAATTATGTACTTACTATGTTGTGCAGTAGAGAATTTTATAGCCGACAATTTTGTCTAGGATATTATTTCCATCAGTCCTGTTCTAATCTTCAATCGGTGGTCGTGTTAATATTGTTCATACTGCAAAGGGTGCCCTATATATTTAGGCACTTCCTAAGTGTCCTTTCTAGAAGGAATCAGATATTCTTAGAATGCGTTTGCCATAAATAATAGCTATCCTATACGACCTAGGCGCTTTTCTTCTGTTTCCCAGCCAGATAATGCTAGCCGAAGCATTGTACTATAGTGGCTGCGCTAAAAGGGAATAGGTCGACATAAGAACCAATCCTAGGGCCTAACCTTTTGAGCTTGAGTAAAGTCCACTAAGCAACGGTTGAAACTGGTTTCGAATCGGACTTGTGATTTGATCTAGAAAATGTTTGCTGGTAGATTCTTTAAGCATCTGGGCCAACAACTCCCTAACCGGCTTCTAGTTTGTCTCGGAAATAGGTGATAGCCCTCTATGGGGAACAGGCGAAGGACCTCCCACCAGAGTGATTGAATTTGGTCGAAAGCCACCGCGGTGAAGTTCTATCTGAACCATAATAGCTTTACCTCGAGTGACGCCGATACGATTGCTGTCGACATTCAGGCATTCGCTGCAGATTGTACATAAGTGGGATTTTAGGAATGATATCTCAGAATCAATTGCGATCCCACGAACACCTTTCATCTGGCCCAACTCATTGGCATGTGATGGAAAATGTCCGAAAACCGAAAGTCTGTCTTGGAGAATTCAAGTATCACAACGGCTATAACCCAATTCATCGCCAGTCAATTTGTTGTTCACTGTCAACCAATTTGGAGATAATCCGAACCAACCATGGACATGATCCTCCGGGACTGCGTGCCGATGCCAAGTGCCGCCGGCCCTGCCCGAGGAAGCGCGTATTCCCATTAAGTAACGGAAACAAAAACCCCATGGGCGTCTTCTCCACTATGCGGGGGTTATAACTAACCGGGGGCTCCTTTGGCGCATCGGAGCTGCCCGACATGATCTGTCTGGAGTGGGAGACACAGGTATGGGGATAGAGAAATCAGATACAGAACCTCCTGAGGAGAAGTCGACGGACTGTCCTCCTGGCCAGCTTGAGAATGCAGCTCAGGAGTCGCCGATCCCAAATGGCGGCTTGGAAGGCTGGCTTAGCGTGTTGGCTGGGTTTTGTGTCTTTGTGAACTCATGGTAGGTGATGAGCTTCCTGTATGCAATTGAAGACTCATCCTCTAACACGACAGGCAGGGGGCTGTTGACCACATATGGCGCTTTTCAGGAGTTCTATCAGACTGAGCTATTGCCGGATCAGTCGCCGTCTAATCTCTCGTGGGTGGGCAGTGTCCAGGCCACGTTGATTGTCATGGTTGGCATTGTGACGGGGCCGCTGGTCGATTCTGGATATCTTCGCACGTTGATCGTGTCTGGGACGTTCTTGGTCGTCTTTGGGATCATGATGACCAGCCTGGCCACCCAATACTACCAGGTAAGTCACTCTACAAGACGAGAAAGGCATCATGTCTCACCGAAACAGGTATTACTAGCGCAAGGCTTCTGCGTTGGAATGGGAGGAGGAATCGCCTACATCCCCGCGCTGGTGGTAATATCTTCATACTTCACGACGAGACGACCCATCGCCATTGGATGCGCCTCGATCGGGTCGAGCGTGGGCAGCGTCATCTTTCCCATCATGTTCCGCCAGCTACAACCCAAAGTCGGATTCCCGTGGGCTGTCCGCTGCATTGGCTTCATCAACCTGTTCCTCGGCATCGTCACCATCGTGATCCTCTGTCGCCGCCCCGGAAAGCGAACCGTTGCCCGCAGCCTGATCGAGCGCAAAGCCCTCACAGAAGCCCCCTTCATGCTACTGTCAGTGTCGTTACTTCTCGTGATGCTGGGATACTACGTCCCGATCTTCTACATCCCGTCGTTCGCCCGCGCAGCCCTCCACACGAGCAAAAGCCTCTCGCTGTACATGGTCTCGATCGTTAACGCCGCATCCGCATTCGGACGAACCGTTCCGTACCTCGCGGGAACGCGTGTTAAGCCTATCGCAATTCTCTTTTTCTGCACGGCCGCCGCCATGGTCGCCATCTTCACCTGGATCGCCGTGTCCAACGTCCCCGGGTTCATCGTTTGGGCATGCTACTGGGGTTTCCTCAGCGGCGTGCTCGTCACAGCGCCAACATCGATCGTCGCGCATCCGACATTCTGCCCTGATTCGAATTACCTAGGTACACGAATGGGTATGATGTGGGGGATCAGTTCGTTTGGGTCGTTGGCGGGAACGCCCATCGCCGGCGCGTTGGTCAACCTGGATGAGGCAAATTTCCTGCGCGCGCAGATTTTTGGTGGTTGCATGATGCTTGGAGCTGTCATGTTGCAGGTCTGGCCCACTATGTGCGTTTTCAGATATGATAAGAAACGGGTGAAATAAGTGGGAGGGAGCCAGGAAGTTATTGATTGGGCATGGGTGGGTTGTAGATTGGTACCATAGTACATAATCCTGAGAAGAGATATAGTACGTTAATAGACTTAGAGACTGCTGCTTCTAATATTACGGAATCGGACGGTCGGGATATCTTTGTGCAACGCAGGGAGTTGTGCATACTTGTGCAGTATGTAATATTTCAGTCTACACATGTTCGGACGTTTCTAGTAAAGAGGAGACTGATGACGAATCTACCGTGGGTAGAGCTATGGAGACCCATCTCCAATCGTGCCACAGAGAATTATATGTGACTCCCACCAGTCAGTCGTGCTGTCTAGGCCATCTTCATGCGGCCATATGAAAAGAAGGCGTTCCGCATCTGTATACGGATATCACTGCATATTTGCGGCGGCTTCAGCAGTTCGATGTCACAGTAGTACACTGATTATGTTTGTTCCTTAATCTGTGGGAGAAACGGATATCTGCCTCTTTCGACAAATCTTCCGTCAGAAAAGAATCCACTGGACATATTGACAAGATAGAATACTGATTTTGGCAGCTATAACTCTGGACATCCATATTAAGTGGCAACGTGGTGGATTTTTTGCTGGAATGTGAAAGGCCCCGGACGACGGGATGGATCATTAGAGCTGAATGCTTGACAAAGTCCATGGAGCTTTCTATTTGATCAGGCCATTATCAGCCTCCTACATCATTAAAATCACTTCTCCACGTCGCATTGATGGTCTTTCCGGCCAGAGAATCGAGCGATGGTGCTGCGCACGCTTCGGGCCGAAACTGCCAACCACGAGCAAGTAAGACAGCAAGGTCACATTCTCTATCGGAAATCCACTCTCCGGTGGCTTTCTCAGACCAATCGGTTCATTGTAGGCCGATATAGTCCATCTAGTTCATCGGGAGATGGCTGTGGCCGACCATCTAGTGCCTGAGCTTGGCATGCCGGAAACAGCAATCCGTCGGCGACATGCTGCCTAGACACGCTGTAGAACCTCAAACAATATATTAATTCCTCTTCTTGTCTTACTCCTGCTCCACAGCCAATATAATCCTCTAGATCATGACATCAAGACACAGAATCCCCTGTCCGCGATCAGAACCACGACGCTGTGGACGACAAGATAAATAGCCAGCTCCCGACATGATGTTGGCAACCCATCCATTCGTTTCCATTCCGCTCGCTGCAAGCTTCAGTAACCATGATGTTCCGCTGTCAGACCATCGTCACTTTCGTTCTCGTCCTCTGGGCTTGTGCGGTCCAAGGAAACCCGGACTATGTCCGACGGGCCTGGCGTCATGACCGCAATCTGTATTTCCGGGCAACAAACTCGACTTCCAGCTCAGTCTCGAGCTCCAAGTCCGGGACGAGCCCTTCGGCATCGGAGTCGTCTTCAAGCACTTCTCATGTCACCCCCCCTCTCAGTACGGGGGCAAGCATTCCTCCCGTTACTCCGCCTCTCAGTACGGGGCCAAGCACTCCTCACGTTACTCCTCCTCTCAGTACGGGGGTACCGGGGCCGTCTATGACCACCACTACCATCACGACCTGCACCAAGACCACTGTCTGCAAGCCGGGTGAACTGGATACCATCACTACTACTGTGCCCTGCTCCACCACCCCTCCAGCTATTACCACTCCTCCTTATGGAAACACTTCCTGGACTACTACTACTATCGTCACCTGTACTAAGAAGTCCTGCAAGCCGGGTGAATTGGACACCATCACCACTGAGGTCCCATGCTCGACCACCCCGGCCACAACTATTACCACTCCTCCTTATGGAAATACCTCTTGGACCACTACTACTATTGTTACTTGCACCAAGGAGACTTGCAAACCTGGCGAGCTAGCCACCATCACCACTGAAGTGCCTTGCTCAACTACCCCGGCTGCAGCCCTCACCACACCCCCGTACGAGGAGACACCTCTTGGACTACTACCACTATCGTTACCTGCACCAAGGAGTCCTGCCAGCCCGGAGAGCTCAGTACTATTACCACGAAGGTGCCCCACCCGACTACCCCGGTCCCAACCGTCAGTGCACCTCCTTATGGAAACAGCTCCTGGACTACTACCACCATTGTCACTTGTACCAAGGAGTCCTGCCAGCCCGGAGAGTTGGAAACCATCACCACGGCGGTACCCCATCCAAACCACCCGAGTCCCACCCGCCCACATCACCACTCCTCCCGGCCCCAGCGTGACCTGGGAGACCACGGCCATTACGACCTGCGCCAAGGAGACCTGCCAGCCCGGCGAGGCGTCCACCCTCACTACCTCCGTGCCGTTCATCACCACCTGCTTCAAGGAAAGCTGTCAACCCAGCGAAGTCGCTACCATCACCTTCAACCCGCCGGAGACGACTTCGACCCCTACGACCATCACCACCTGTCTCGGGGCGATGTGCAACCCCAGCGAACTGGTCACGATCACGACTGAGTTGCCGCACCCGGTTACAGAAACTGTCTGGCAGACCGAGTACCAGTGTGCCACCGGTGCGCACCAGACTCTGGGGGTTGTCGAGACTATGTGGACTACGGAGATTGAGTGGGTGACCGAGTACGCCACCGTGTCTACTTGTTAGATCTTTAGGTCACAGTCCGCACGCGCTCTGAGAGAAGCCGACAAGGGGTGATTTGATGGGGCCGAGGGTGAAGCAAGAGCGCCGTCTTATTCTCTCCTTAAGTAATTTTGCCGCTATATTGATAGAGTATGTAGCTAGGCTATACAGCCATAATATTATTCGCTCCTTATTTTCTGCTGTGTGGATTTTCAATCTGAAATGTAATAACCCTTCAAGATAGGCACCTCTGACCGACATCGCATACTACTCTCCAGAATCCATCAGGAAGAGTCCCGTAGTTTGACATAGCACTTGAACTTCTGCTTGACAAACTAATCTTCATACGTCACCATCTCCCCAGGGGGGCAAGCTTGAATTCGAACTTGCGGTACAAGTGCGGAAGGACCTTGGACATCTCCAAGAGACTGATATTCTTGCCGATGCACGTGCGTGAGCCTGCACCAGACTGCATACAGTCAGTACGTATGTACGGTATTAGGGGTATATACGTCGAATGGTTTGAAGATCTGTTTTGGGGGTAGGCGGGACATCGGGCATGGTCGAGTCGTGGATTGGCGGGGACAGGGATTCCAAAGAAGATACTAAGCCAGATTGGGATCTCACGATGGTCTTCGGAGTGGATGGATTCAGTGAGCGAGGGACAAGAGCTGTCTTGCGCGTTGCCATCTGAGTGGAAGTGCTCTTTGTGAAAGGAATTAGGGGGCTCCATGGTGGAGTGAAGATGGAGGGAATAAAGTGATTCGTGCCATTGAGAGGAGTAGATATTGCATTGTCAGTCTGAGCAAGTCTGGCCAACACAACGTCTACTCTTTTACTGTGTGTATCATCCTGTCTACTTGTAGATAGGGCAGTGGATCCTCTCAGCCTTGGCGGACAAAAATAGGCCAGCCCTCGAGCTAAAATAACCTTGTCTCTTCGCGTTGCGTGTCCTCATGTCAGGATGCCCGCACCACATACCTTCACATAATGCTAGAAGAAAATTTACTAGGGGATAGGTACGGAATATAACCTGTGGTAAGGGGCACCGTAGCACAGAAACAAACGTAACATGTAACAATCGAGCAAGGAGAAAAACAGCCGCAAGCGGACAAGTGTGAGATCACGTGATGTGGAGGCGTTGTTGGTTGCCCCTTTGCGGCCAGCCAAAAAAGATCCTCCTGTTCTCCTCCTCCATCTTCGCGGCGCCCTTTCTTTCTCGTGGACTTAGTTCTTCTCGCCCTACATTGTATTTAATTTTTCCTTCGTTGCGTGTCACCTTCTCGCAATCTCCTCGATTGACTGTCGTCGCCTGATGATCGGCGATCAGTGACCGTTCCTTCCCTTCTTCAACTCGATCGTCGACTGCGGACGCGACGCCAACGCCTCATTCATTTCTCCATGGGCCTCAGCCCATAATTCCATTCGGAATCTATTCGTCTTATTATACTCCGTTCTTCGATATCTTTTTAATTTTTCCGTCGCGCCCACGATGAAGCTCCAAAACGTCTCGTCATTTGTCCTCTTCCTCCTCCCCGCAATCTCATCCGTCGCCGCAGATGTTGCCTCTGCCGATGCCGCTCTGCTCGAGCGCAATGCCCCCCACTCCAACACAGTCGCTGACCTAGATGGTCTGACTGCCCCCAAGGCCTCCTCAAAGGTGACGCTGGACGCCCCCGTGGACGGCCGCGATGGACGACCACACGCTGGTCCGTGGGTGGAGACCAGTGCGGAGCGTGACCGCAAGAAGACGGGCACTGCCAAACCTGCTGATGAAATGGCGGGTGCCGGCAGCTCTGAGCACTTAGGCCCCGATGGCAAGCCGATTCCCTACTCGAATGACGGGGTCATGGATGATCCGCACCGGACAGGCCCGAAAGAGGGCACGCGTGGCACAGAGGGCGGAGTGTCGGAGAAGCTTCGTGGTCCCTCGAACACGGAGGAGAAGAAGCCGGACAGTCCGAAGGAGGCTCCTCCTTCTGCCGCATAGTGAACAACAGAAGCTCCCCACCTCCAGCGACGAGACGGTTTCTAAAGAATCCAAGGATACGAAGGACTCGAAAGATTCGAAAGACTCGAAGAGCTCGAGCGGAGACTCGTCGTTGGGAGTGCTCGAGAAACCGGCTGATCTGCCGCAAAAACCATACGATATCCCTCACCCCAAGTCACCTGCCCCCGTGGCGGAGGATCCTCTCGGTCTCGACACCAACAGTAACATCATCGACGGCACTAGCGGAGAGGAAGGCAGTCCGCTTCACTCGCTCTTGTTCTCGTTTACCATGATTGTGGTGTCGGAAATCGGCGACAAGACCTTCCTTGTCGCCGCGCTGATGGCGATGCGTCACCCTCGCTTGCTGGTTTTCTCCGCCGCCTTCGCTGCTCTCATTGGCATGACTGTGCTTTCCGCCGTGCTGGGACACGCCGTCCCAACCCTGATTCCCAAGTCGTTCACCAAGATCATGGCGGCGGTGCTGTTCTTCATCTTCGGACTGAAAATGCTGAAGGAGGGGCGCGAGATGTCGCCGGACGAGGGTGTCGGCGAGGAGATGAAGGAGGTCGAAATGGAGCTGGAGGAGAAGGAACATCAACAGCTCCGTATGAACCGCCGTCGTTCCTCGGTGACTCCTCACGCGCTTGAATCCGGACGCACTGGACGCCGCAAGTCCCGGTCCACGAACCGTCTGCCGTCGCCTCCGGAGAGTCTGTCGTCTTCGTCTTCGCGTGACTCGTCCCCGGCGCCTGGTCGTCGGTTGAACGATGTCCTCGTGGGAATGAACAACCTGTTTTCGCTTCTCCTCAGTCCTGCTTGGGTCCAGACGTTTGCGATGACCTTCCTGGGAGAATGGGGCGATCGTAGTCAGATTGCGACGATTGCCATGGCGGCCGGTCAGGACTACTGGTGGGTCACCGTGGGTGCCATTACCGGACATGGCCTCTGCACTGCCGCCGCCGTCATCGGAGGAAGTGCTATTGCTGGTCGAGTCAGCATGCGTGTTGGTATGTGTCCCATTCTAATGGTTATGTTGAATGATGCTAACTGATGCAGTGACGCTGGGCGGTGCCACCGCTTTCTTGCTGTTCGGGGCCATTTACCTGATAGAAGCGCTCTATTAGATGGCATGCTCACTAATTGGACATTCTTGTATAATAGAGCTTGTAGCTATAATATGTCGAAACCATGATCCCCGCGCGGAGCTGTCCTATCTGCCCATGCCTATGTGCTGGTGTATGAATGCCTTATGGCGGTAACCTATGAATCCAATGACCTACTGTATAGCTGTTTTGTCCTTACTCTGTAGTGCTTCTGGTGTGTGAGCCCAGCCTTATGGGACAGGTTTTTGCGACATCAATCTGCTTGAGTTCGAGAAATAATCATACTTGGCTGTGTAGAAGCCAGAAAGGTAATAAGAGCAAGTGCTGGGTATGGACAGAGACCCATAGAAAGGCATTTGACATACTACAGAACTAGCTATGCGTGGAATACTGCCTCGGAAAGCTACGATATTGGAGCTGCTATAGGGAATCATCAATGCGGTATCGACTATTAAAGATATCTATTGTCTGTCTTTCGGTGGCCCGGTATATTGAGGTCCTAGATAAAGGTCCGCTAAAGCTGCACTTGCCAGGATTAAGTGAGCGTCCATTCATTAAAGAACCACGATCCATAGGATGACATTTATTGCGATGGGGCGAAAAACATGTCAAAAATAAGCAGGCGGGGCGTGATGGTCCTGCCTGCCTGACACCGAAGGGTAAGGGTTTAGAATGGGTTTCTCCTCGTAGGGGTTTTGGGTTGCGGTTTAGGGTTTGGGGTTATAATTATGCCTGAGGCACCAATATGGCCGATGACTCAGCAATACCCTATCTTAGACTGCACCCAACAGCAAATCCCAACAAAGCGATTTGTCTTTCCTCGCAAACCTCGTCATTCAGGGTCTTCCTCCTTCCCGTCACCTCCCTCCATCCATCCCCATCATTTTCCATCCCCAAAGTGCCTATTTTGGTTCACATTTAGTCGTATAGACACCCAGACACGCTCTTCATACATCAACGGCCCCACACCTTCTTGTTTTGTTGTTGTTGTGGTCGACGTGATGGCCAGTCCGCCCCGACGCGTCACCAGGAGTCAGAGTCGGGAGCGGGAGACATCCATTGTCAAAGATGTCGGTCAGTCGTCTGGAGGTCGCATGTGGACGCAAAGTAAGCGACGAATGACGGGTCAGAGTAAGTACATTCCTTGTCTGATGACCGAACGGGTGGTTGGCACCCGCGATGTGATGCCAGCCGAACATCACCACATCACCATCACAACAAATACCATTACACCCATGCTCCACCCATAGCCGCATCCAGAACATCCAAAACTCACAATCCCAGGCCTGGAAGTCCTCCCGGAAGAATCCCCATACAAATCCCCCCGCAAATCCACTGGCCGATTCGTCCCCGGGTCGCCAGAAGATGCAGGCAACATCACCGGCACGACCATCCGCGTGTCGGAGCACGAGTCCGAGCTCGACCCGCAGATGATGCTCTACACGCTCCCCGACCTGGAGTCCTACGCGACGGGCGTGCTCGACTTCGTGCTCCCAGCCGCCAAGACCGGCAGCGTCGCCGAGCTGGCGAAGAAGCTCGCCGACTCCAAGAGCCTGCAGCACCTGCAGTTCCGCCGCCGCGTGTCCAAGCTGACCGGCGAGACGCAGAACTTCTCGCACGCGGCGTACATCGACGTCGCGGAGGTGCACCGGCTGTTCTACGAGCTGCTCGAGAGCCGGCGCATGTCGACGGCGTGGTCCGCCGACGGCATCCTGCACAAGGCGAACTGCGCGCTCTTTGCGCGCGAGCTCCTCCTCGCCGCTGACTGGGTGCCGTTTCGGCGCGCGGTCGCCAATGTCGCGGACTCGTTCCCGTCGGCGTTCATGAACGATATCGCGCACGAGGACGCGTCGCAGAGCCGCGCCGCCGGCGAGAGCGCGCTGGCAATGGAGACGTTCCAGCTGGCGCTGGAGATCCGCACGCAGTCGTTGATCATGCACATCGAGGACCGCCAGGGTGATCCGGTGTTTAATCCGGTGGAGGCTCTGGAGAGTGCCTTCTTTCTGGAGCATCCTGGCGAGGATGCGCCGCTTCGCGGGTTCGATTTGGACGGCCTCGGTGGTGTGGATGCACCTCTGCCTGCGCGGTTTCGCGACGCCGCGTTGGAACGCTACGCGGATGTGCGCGAGCTGCTGGCCGAGAATGAGGGCTACGTGCTGCGCGTGCTGAAGAGCGTGTATCGGTGGCAGAAGTTTATCCCGCGCGCGGTGGGTTGGATCGCCAAGCGCAGCGATGAGATCAACGAGGACTTGCGGAAGCAGCCGAGCACGGAGGAGTTCCACGCGGAGTTTTTTGCGTCGAAGGATAGTTTTAATGAGAGTGTGGGAGCTGGGGCCGCTGCAGAGGCCAACATCCAGGAGACGCCCACAGCGGCCGCCCCAGCGGAATCGCCTGTTCCAGCGGAACGTCGTCCAGAGCCAGAGTCAGAGGCACGACCAGAACCAGAACCACAAACGAGGCCACAGACACAGCCGCAGCAAGACAAAGACCGCCGAAAGTCCGGCAGATCGTGAGTTCACTCGATCCACGCCGCAAACCCAACTAACCCGCCTAGTGAATGGTATAAAGGGCAAATTTCCGGCTTAATGCAGCGGATTCAGAGGGAGAAGCGCGCCTCCGAGGGCCCCGGCATCCGCCGCGAGAGCGATAACGCACCAGCGCCAGAACCTCGACGCGTGTCGGCCCCTGTCTTGCAGAGACCAACCACGCCAGTAAGAACAGAGCGAGAGGTCCCCGAGTCCGACAGCCCAACACCCTTCCG